TATCTAAAGTCATCAGAAGTTGCGATGAGACTTTCTATGTATAAATAAGAGACTGCTTAATCCATCAAAACATTAATTTTCTCTTCGTGATCTATTCAAGTATTTCTCTTACATTTAAATAGATTGAACATGAGAAAAATAACGGGGAAAAGATCTCTTTTATGGTTACGAGATGTAAATAACATATAATCCAAACAATCTTAAGATTATTACAAAGACTCGAATTCCATTTTAAATATGCATTTTTTAATGTTTGACAGGAAGATCGTATATCTAAAATATTTCATGAAGAACAATTCGTATCGCACGAAAGAAGCCCGCGTTTCTCTCGTTAAAAGTACGAGTATCGTATAGTAAACGATTGCAGATATTTCCCTTGTATGTTAACACGTTAACCCATATATTCTTTCCCATCTTTGTTCTCGAACAGCTATTCAATAGTGCTGGAATGAGAATCTAGTTCTGATTTTCATTTATCCCATGAAAGTGTGCTACCGACGACGCATATCTACGTGTGATGTAGAGTTCAATGTACGAACAGCGATGTTGCGTAAATGACTACCGTAATATATAATCCAGATAAATTCCACGGAAGAACGATTAAGAGGAAGATTATAAGTTTGCTTCTTTACTCTTATTTTAAGAGTTGCAAAAGTAGAGTGAAACAACAGGGTGTATACTCAAATCTTATATAAATAAATTCCATGATTTTCCAGATACTTTTGTTCAAAATTTCAAAAGTAAAATTGCAGTATTTAAAAACATTTTAAATACAATTTTAAATTAAGTATATTTTTGTTATACATAATTTTTTAACGTAAATAAAAGATTTTTGTAATATAATAATATAATATTAAATTTTGTAATAAAAAATATTGTATATTTTAATATACTTTATATAAATCTAATAAGTTTTACATTCTTTGAAAGTATATGTGAAAATAAATTCAAAGGGCAAAATAAATTCTCTAAGTTGAAAATAAATTCTATGAGTATTCCAGGATTTTTTAAGGTAGAAAAAAATTCCCTGAGAATTCCAGGTTTATTGTCACGTAATTTATTATAACAAATCTAGAAGTTTGCTTTATACATCTAAAGGAGCGAAATTATCCGTTGATAAAAATATAGAGACATTTCGAATGTTTTAAAAATTGTTATATCGCTGAAAAAAATTCAGACATGATTTTGTTGGATAAAAATTGATTGATACCGAAATCCTAATTTTATTTACATTCGAAGTACCGAGAACCGCGAGAGTAAACCGTGAAACAGACGCGGCTGTTTAGAAATACCAAGATAGAAGTGCTCGAACGGACATTATTGCCACGCCAGCTGGTTTTCAGTGGCTGGTACCGACTACAAGTTCTTGCCTATATTCCAGCCACGACAATTTTCACCTGGCGAACACCTGTCGCGTCGGGTTTTTCCCCGTTTTTCCGACGTCGAAGGCGCGTTTGAAAGTCCAAACCCGCGCTTGAAACGGAACGAGAAATCTAAAAAGGACAGGTCGTCTCCGCAGAGATCCGCTGCGAAAATCGTCGGCGGGCCTGAAAAAAGGCGACCGGAGCAAGTCGAGCGACAAGTGGCGACTGTGTCAAGGTGAAGGCGCGTCATCTCCGACACTAACTAACCGGTGAAAGCCGGTGATGATAGTCTACCGTGCTCTGTGAATAACTGTATTTCTCGGATTCGGGAAATTCAAGTCGTTTGATTTTGCGAACAGATATCAAAACTCGCGAAATGACAATAATATAACAGGGTGTCTAGTGAAATTTGAAAATAAAATTTCAGGACATTTCAAGGAAATTTGCACGATCTTCCTCCAATAGTATAATAAAGATGTACAAGAAACTAAAAACTTGATTTTCTTTATCAAGTTCATAATTGCATGTCAACGAAAATTAATATATGCATTATCAATATTGGATACAATATTCTCTTATATTATTATATATTTTAAATGCTTACAATCTATAAATAACTTATGCGTAACACATTTATTTGAACTCCTAAATAAAAATATATATTGTATTATTTACAAAGTAAGATGAAATATTTTTTTACTCGAATAGTTTCAACTGCTCGTTTAGCTGAATGTTTAGAAGCAACGAAAAAAAATCAAGGATCTATGAAAAATTTAAGTATATTTCCAAGATTTTTAAAGAACAAACAAAATTTCAAGGACTTCAAGGATTTCAAGAACGACTGGACACCCTGTATAAATTTTTAAGGCGATTATACGTTGATCAAATCGGTTATATGTATTATGACGTCAAGAATTTCCATCACAACAAGGTGAACAAAACATGCACGATTGTAATTATAGAAAAAAATTTTACTGAAAAATTTCTAAAGAATTAACGTGTGCGATTAGTTGTCGTTTTTATAGATTGATGTACAACTATCATTTATTTAATTATAATTATCTCTATTTTTTGAGCAATATAATAATCATCAAAATAGGCACATTCAAAACTCTATATTTTTCTCCTTATATATAGTAGTGATTCCGCTCTTGTTCACACAATAAATTTAAACAATAGAAATCAAATTTTTAGATTTATTATAATAAATTATGTAAATCTAAATCAAAATACATCGATGTTGTTTCATTTGTTAAATCTTTCGTGGGAAATACTAAATAAAATATATTAAATACAATATATGAAGATGAATTGCCTATCAAGCAACAAATTTTTCGGTCATTGACAGATGCAAATCTTACAAGGAAAGTACGCTTCGAAAGTTTCTCAAACTCAATCTGATATGTATTAAGAGTCCCCATTTCCGAACAAGTTGCGATTCTCGAAAGCCTGCTCATAAATCCAACACTTGTCAGATGATTTTAATAACATCTTTAAAAGCGGTTTAAGCATAAATTCGTGTATGAAATTTAAGTAAGAAATCTCTCGTTAAACTATAAAAAAACTTATTTAAAATACATAAAAGAATAAGATTTGCAAAAAAAAAAAAAAAAAAAAAAAAAATCTAATCTTAAATATCTATCTAAAATCTATCTTTTTTTCCTTAAAATAATTAGCAATAAAATGAATAATGGAATAAGGATCTTTAAAAAATCTGCAATTCTTTGACAGAGATTCTCGGGAAAGAGGAAAAGTTTATGCACATCTATGACGCTCTTTGAGAAATAAGAATCGTCAGAAAAACCGCACTGGTGATACACGGTGATCATAAAAAAGGAGGATAAGAACATCCAACACGTGTCTTACACTTGAAAGCCGATGACATCAGCATTTGCGACGAGCTAAGATCTAAGAAAGCAAGAGCTCTTTTATCGCTGCCGAGTGAATGATTAAGTAAAAAGCTATTTCGCTCCGACCACGCACACGGTGAATTCTAATTAAAGGAAACTCAATTAGAGGAGAGATTTAAGTTAAAGAAATATGAAATCAAATATTAATTAAGGAAGAAAGAGGAGTGATGAATAAATGAGTATATAAACTGAGAAATTAAAAAAATTAGCAACTGTAATGTGTGTAAATAAATTAACATAATTAATTGTATAATCCAAATGTTATCGACTCCCAATAAAATGCACAACAATATTTAATGAGAGAATATTATGGGAGCATGATATCTTAGAAAATCCTGTCCTCTTGTCCACCCATCTGCCATATTGCAACCGCCTAAAAACAGGTTTCGTGTGATTCGAACGTATTTCGCTATCGGCCACCTTTAGGACCTCCTTACAATATCGCCAGGATATTTGCTGCGTGCAATTTCTTAGGAAGTCAGCAATTACTTGCTACTTCTTGCATTAATTCCATATACTTTATGTGCGCGTAAGCGTAAATCTGATGCACGCTCGAGCACGAGAATACGCAAGTTATGAGAGACGAAAATCTGATATACATATATGTATATATAAATTAAAACCGATTGCAGCATTTACAAAATTAACTCGTCGAAATTTATCTCCCGAAATGCCAAATTGACAAGTCGCAGTAAAATAATAAATTTTAAGTAATTCCTAAAAGATGGTTATGCAAACATTTTCGCGAATAATTTTTTACTAAATAACATTTTTTTTTACAAAATATATGTCTCTCTTTTTATATTCTTTTTCTCCGTAAATTTATTTAAAAAATTATTTGTTCAAACTGTAATTTTTAACGCAATATCTATCCAACAAAAAAAATCGTCGGCTTAAATATTTAAATTTAATTATTTAAATATCTGTCATTTAATATTTGTATTTAAAAGTTTGTTACTATAATATTTAGATTTATCAATAATTTTTCATTTTAATAATAAAGTATATAATTTGATAAGAATATACTATATTATAAGCATATACTATTTGACTACTTAATTATTCTTCATCTACAGGAATGTCTCTCTACATTTCAGGGTTGTACTTCTACAACATAGGATTATAGCCTTAGGAAGCAGAACACGTTACTTTAAACACAACCAAGTATCAGGTTAGATATTCATCTTAATAATTTTGACATCTTAATAATTTCCTTTTGCATTCGTTCGCGACATATCTCATACGCATTTATTTGTTACACACGGGTGGATACTCTCGTATCACGCGATGATCATAGCATAGTTTTGCCACGGGATTCAGCTTTCAGTGCCATCAACACCGAAAATTGATCACGGTGGAATTTCGCTTGTAACTAACACCCTCAAATCGCCAACGAAGCTAGCGAGAACTTCACTAACCGGTTTTAATCTTCGCCGCATAACGCGCACCAAAATTCGCGACATCAAATCCAGACGATTATTTTCATTATTGCGAAAGATTAAAGAAATCATTTTTAATATTAAACACCCATATTAAAATAATTTTTTATTTTAATTATACATTTCGTTTATGAAAGAGAGGCTTTTTCGAACATTTTCGAGCCGGTTATACATTAGAAAAATCATAGAAAACCCCAAGATTAAATTCCGTGAAAAGGCGAATAAATGGGGGGAAAAAAATGAATCGTGCTGAAGGAAGAGTACGGGAATATGCAAGTATATCCTACCTTTTTGTAGAGTTTGATCCAGGTGAGGTCGCCCTTATTGTCGGTATATTGAAGACCGAAGAACCACACCTCGCGCAGCCCGATCGTCTTCACGACCTGGTCGAACAGCTGCTTCCCGGTGGTCGTCGCCTGGATCGCGAACTCCAGCTCCGCGTCCATCGTCGTCACCCTCACGTTCATCTTCGCATGCAAACAAAACGACGTCAGATAATGGGAATCGAGCGCGTCTCACTCGCGCACAATTTTATTATGTACTTTCTTGCATTTCTCAAGAAGACGATTTTGCGAATATTATCTTTCGAAAGAACTGGTGTATTTTTTTTTTTCATAAAAATATTTAAAAAAAAATCTCCTTGACTATCAAGTACACAAAAACCTTTATAAAATTTTGTCGAAAGTAGACCGTGAAATATTCGTCGGAACATTTATCCAAGGCACGTTCGCGGTTTCTTTTTTCTTTTACTCTCGATACTCGAGTTTGAAGTTCGTCGCACCAGTAATGGTCGGCTTACCATCTTGCCACCGGCCACCATGTCTGCGAGAAGATTCGTTGAACACGTAAAAACGGGGAATAAATCAACGCGAGGTAAAAAAAATCGCGAGAATATTCGGCGAACGAATTCTCAGATTTCGGAGCACGGCACCAGGACGACGACGGAATTCGTCTCTTATTCGACTGGAGAGCAAAACCACTCGACGGATCGCACGAACGAGCGAGGTCGGCCTTCGAAGCCGGTCTCTCGGAGCCGAACAATAGACCGAAACGCAAAGTGCAACCGACAGTCTTCCCCACCCAATTCCTCTGTTCAAACGAGCAATGTCTCTCTCTGCCCCTTCCTGAGTTATACCTCTTCCATGGTTCAGAATGAGCGCGTTTCACGAGCGTGGGTCACGTGAGGAGACCTGGCCGACCAATCGCGATCGGCGAATACCGGAAGAAAGGGACCAAGACCCCGGCTCTTTCCTCCACCGTTTAACGTTTTCGGAAACCGACGGATGCGCGGAACCGTTGCAATCTCGTCGCGCGCGCATACGTTCATTACGTAATTTTTCCATCGCGGATTTCCTCAGGAAGTTTTATAGGCGTTGCTGCGCGCGCTTTTACTTTTATCTTCGCGCGACGACGGCGAAATATCGGCAGGAAAACGATGTAGGCGTGGAATATCTCCAGTTGACTTAATGACAAAAATTCCATGATTTTTTCAAATTTTCCGAGACCAGAAATTCATTTTTTCCCTGATTTTTTAATATTATTTTTTTCAAATATATAATTTGCATATATTTATATGATAAATCAATTAAATGTGAAATCCTTGAGATATTTTTGTCAACAATGAAAAGGTCCAGAAGTTAAAAGAACAAAAATTTTAAAGCAATTATACAATCTGCATTATGTACGATAATCGAAACAAACATGTCACTATAAACTATTTAAATAATCACCTTTTTTATTTATATTATATATCAAATTTTTTAGTTTTGTCTCTATCAGACATATCGAAATAAAATAACACGACGAAAATAACGACGATGAAAATATAAATTAACGAACACGCTGTATAAATAAATCTATTTTTAACAACACAGAAAATTAGCACTGGGATTCAAGGAAAAGTTATATTTATTTAATAAAAAATTTCAAATTATTAAAACAAATGTAGAATAATGTGAAAAAAATCCAGATAAATAGTAAAACCTGATTTTTCTCTGACAATGCCCGGTTTTTCAGATTTCTCTGCTAGACACCCTGATTATGTATGTATTATTTGCATATCAAGTTGATGGAAGATAATTGCGATCTTGATTTTTTTTTAAACTGACTTGTAACTTGTATTGAACTTTGATTAGAAAGAGAGGGGGATATTTCAACAATAAATAACTATTATAAGCTGCTTCCATTTACGACACTATTTATAAGCTTGTTTGCCACAAATGTTATATGATTGAAGTCAAAAAGTTTCTATAAAACTGCTATTTTTATTTATTTAAATTGATAAACTGATTTATACCTTCGATCCAAAGTTAATTTCTACGAAACAGCGCCGTGGAAAAAAAAATTCTCTCTCGAATAAATTGAATTTTTCTCTTGAAGAAAACGCGAAATAAGAATTTCAATCGTGCAACAAGTGAGTAAGATACTTGTAGATCTCTCGGATGCGTTAAAGGCCGATACCTTTCACGTTGCAACATATATGCAATGTCGCATTCTTTATACTTTATACCGTCACCGACCTACGTAGACATGAGTTTTGAAATGACTGATACAAATAAAAAATAAAAGATAGAAACCAAAGTCTCAATTCCTTTCAGCCATTTTCAATATTTTAGACTTTAGACCGATTTTTTAAATATTGGAATTATTTTAAATGTAAGAATTATTCAAATTATATATATTTTTATTAGTTTCAACTGTGAGAGACAGTTTCACATGTTGCGTAACATGGTCGATTTTATCAAACAATTATGGCAAATATTTCTTTTAAATAAACAATAAATACATTTCATTATGTTTCGTACAAACAGCTGAATCGGAAGAATGAAAATCCGTATTGATTATGGTACTAGAGTATAAAAAATAAGGAAATATAAATCCTTTTTATATATAATTCTGAATAAATAAAGCATTATGTATATACAAATAAGAAGTCTACGCATAATTACTTATGCAAGAAGTAAGACGTCGTAAATAGACGTCGTAAATAGAAGTTACATAAAGAAAATTCAATTGCAAACGGCAAACGAGCTACACTGTCTACATAATAGTATATTTTATTTCTGAGAGCGCAAGTGTTCATTACTGTTGATAAAAGATATCATCTTATGTAATGCGTGCACCAAAAGCGATGTCTCAAAGTTACACCTTTTACAACCAGAAAGATCAGACATTTTCCGTGCATATTTATTCATCGTTTCATGTTTTATTACACCCAACAAGATGTACATCTTTCGTTTTGTTCGAATATTAATCGAAATATTCAGTGAACCAAATCGATTCAATTTCGCTGAATATTGATTTCGATAACTAAAACGAAAATGACGCATATGTTTAAAAATTTAAATTTTATGATTGTGGAAAAGCGACAATTGAACAGAACACTAAAAAAAAATTTGTTAACTTGACTAAACCTTTCAACTAAATTAATTTAATTAAACATATATTAATATTTAAGTCAAATATACAATAAAATAATATTTAGTCAAGTTGCCAATTTTTTTCATTTAAGATTTTTTTCACATATACGAAAATTGTAGCGAATATTAAATTAATTAAAAATCCCATTTCGATCACGATTTTTTGACGAACATGGTTCGACAATACTTCACGTGGTCCATAATCAGCATCCACTCGTGGCCATTACTCACGCGAACGAATTGAATATTATCTTATCGCGCTGAAATTATTGCAACGGTGAACGTGACATTTTACGCCGGGATCATAAAAATTCGCAGCACGACTATTTCGCGAATATGTGCAGATTGCGAATCGCATGACTCGAAAGTAGACTCTGTGAAGTTGGCACGGCTTTTTTCAATTTTCAAAAAAAAACATATGAGTTCTAGTAGCACTAAGAGTTCTAGAGTTCCTGATAGGTTTCGCAAATAGTTCTGTCAATTTAAGGTCAAAAAACGAATTTTTTAAAAATGTCGTGCTAACTTCCCGTAGCACGACACTTATGCAAAAAAAATTTTTTATTCATGTATTTCGATAGATTTCGACGAGATCTAGAGTTCCTGATAGATTTTAACAATAGTTCCGGCGAACTATGCATTCTACGAGTTAAAAAACAAAATTTAAACGATATTTGTAAAAATTTTATTTTGTTGTGCTAATAGAAATATTCATTTCTCACGGCGCAATTTGCGAGCTCTAGGATAGTTCTGACCTCCAAAATAATGTTCGACAATAGTTCTGTCGATTAACCATAATTAACTTAATTAATTAATAAGCTATTATAGCACGACATCGCGGAAGAGTGTCGTGCTGGTAGAAATATCTATTTCTCTGGGCGCATTTTACGAGTTCTAGGATAGTTCTGACCTCCAAAATAATTTTCGATAATAGTTCTGTCGATTAACAGTAATTAACTTAAATAATTAATAAGATAATTATAGCACGACACTCGAGCAAAGGGTTTCGTGCTAAGTATATATCGCAGTTCTAGGGGGGGTTTTGGCCAGTTCTCGTAGAGTTCTATGCTTTGCAATTATTTTTAAAAATAGTTCCGGCGATTAAACATTTTTTAATAATTTTTAAAATTTTTTAATGTCCGATTTCAGCACGACACTCGAGCAAAGGGTGTCGTGCTGAGTATATATCGCAGTTCTAGGGGGAGTTTTGGCTAGTTCTCGTAGAGTTCTATGCTCTGCAATTATTTTTAAAAGTAGTTCCGGCGATTAAACATTTTTTAATAATTTTTAAAATTTACACCCTTTGCTCGAGTGTCGTGCTGAAATCGGACATTAAAAAATTTTAAAAATTATTAAAAAATGTTTAATCGCCGGAACTATTTTTAAAAATAATTGCAGAGCATAGAACTCTACGAGAACTAGTCAAAACTCCCCCTAGAACTGCGATATATACTCAGCACGACACCCTTTGCTCGAGATTTGTGCTGAAATCGGACATTAAAAAATTTTAAAAATTATTAAAAAATGTTTAATCGCCGGAACTATTTTTAAAAATAATTGCAGAGCATAGAACTCTACGAGAACTAGCCAAAACTCCCCCTAGAACTGCGATATATACTCAGCACGACACCCTTTGCTCGAGTGTCGTGCTGAAATCGGACATTAAAAAATTTTAAAAATTATTAAAAAATGTTTAATCGCCGGAACTATTTTTAAAAATAATTGCAGAGCATAGAACTCTACGAGAACTAGCCAAAACTCTCCCTAGAACTGTGATATATACTCAGCACGACACCCTTTGCTCGAGTGTCGTGCTGAAATCGGACATTAAAAAATTTTAAAAATTATTAAAAAATGTTTAATCGCCGGAACTATTTTTAAAAATAATTGCAAAGCATAGAACTCTACGAGAACTGGCCAAAACCCCCCCTAGAACTGCGATATATACTTAGCACGAAACCCTTTGCTCGAGTGTCGTGCTATAATTATCTTATTAATTATTTAAGTTAATTACTGTTAATCGACAGAACTATTATCGAAAATTATTTTGGAGGTCAGAACTATCCTAGAACTCGTAAAATGCGCCCAGAGAAATAGATATTTCTACCAGCACGACACTCTTCCGCGATGTCGTGCTATAATAGATTATTAATTAATTAAGTTAATTATGGTTAATCGACAGAACTATTGTCGAACATTATTTTGGAGGTCAGAACTGTCCTAGAGCTCGCAAATTGCGCCGTGAGAAATGAATATTTCTATTAGCACAACAAGATAAAATTTTTACAAATATCGTTTAAATTTTGTTTTTTAACTCGTAGAATGCATAGTTCGCCGGAACTATTGTTAAAATCTATCAGGAACTCTAGATCTCGTCGAAATCTATCGAAATACATGAATAAAAAATTTTTTTTGCATAAGTGTCGTGCTACGGGAAGTTAGCACATTTTTAAAAAATTCGTTTTTTGACCTTAAATTGACAGAACTATTTGCGAAACCTATCAGGAACTCTAGAACTCTTAAAAGTGCTACTAGAACTCATATGTTTTTTTTTGAAAATCGAAAAAAGCCGTGCCAACTTCACAGAGTCTCGAAAGTATATATTCGAATTCATCATCCGCAAATACTCGAAAAATTTTCTCCTTTCAATATTTCATTTTTCATCGTATAACAATATCTCCAGTTTGCTACTCGTGTTTTTTAAATGCGTTTTTCGCAACAAAATAATTATTATTGCTACCAATTATTAAGGGCAATCATTTTCGATTAGTTTCTAATTTTGCGGTATTAAAAATTGATTATGTGGGGATCAGAAATGTTATACTGTTTTTATCAAATATTTTTTATATTAATGTCCTTAAAAATTTTGAACCTATAGTAGTGATAATTGAAAATTGAACGTTTGCTACTGTAATATCAATATATTGAAGAGTACATACCGACTTCGGCATCGTGGAAGTTGTGTTTTCTCGTACTGAACAACGGATCTATCCCTCTGAAACAAATAATGATATATTGTTAGATAAAATTTATATTCTTTTAGGACAATTAATGAGAATTCTGATAAGTAAAATGTAATTTGAAATACTGAATTTTTAGATTTATTGAATCTTTTGCCGGAATTTTTGTTTTTATAGAACGTTCATATGATACAGCGATCATTTAGATGTCTTTTTTAAAATTTGCTAATACTATAATGATATGTTGGCAAATGCATAATTACTGTATTTGATCAGTCGTTCAATTATAACAGATCTACTCGTTCTTAAAATGTTGAGTAACTTATAATAAAATCACGTGTGTTACTGTATAGAGCTATGAATAGCATCCAATAGAGTTACATGTATATAATTAATCTAGTATAGCCTAGATTTATAAAGGAATCGAATATTGACTTTGTGTGAAATCACATCTGATTCAACAAGTGACGCATGTCAATCATTTTCGAAAGCAAATGTAATGAAAACGTCTATGGTAAATTTTTAATCGCAAGATCCTAATTTAACTTTTCAGAGTTTAATTATCAAAATTTTGAGGTAATCAAGTTTTAAAATATCACGAGATAATTGTAAACTATAAATCACAACTTTTTTAAGAAGCAAGAATTTATACTGAATATCAAAACTGAAAAATTAAATTATCGAACGTTTTGTTACTGTTGTAATACTGTAATTGATATAAAGGCAAGGCTGATATATTTTATAATTCTTGTTTTCTCGCTGCGCTACTTTATAATATGGTAAAGATAAAATTAAAGGTGATAATGATGTCATAAATACGTAGCGTGAGCAATTCTCCCAATTATTTCAATCCTATAATATAATATAATGCAAGATGAGTACGTATAAAATATTATGCATAATATAAATTTAACCGTGGGAGACGTCTTATACAATCTGCATCATATAAATATGCAAAAATTGATGATATTTAAGAATAAAGCATATTCAAAAAGTTGTAAAATATATGCAGAACGTTACGCAATCGAGAAATTAATGTTATCATAAATTATTATAAACAAATTATTTTAAGAATTAACAATACATTATTAAAACAATTTTCAATGCATAAATCATGTATATAAAATAATTAAGCATACATAGAAGAAATAAATTTTATTTCACGTCTTCAACTATATATGCGAAATATAATATAGCCATTTAATCTGATTTTCGAACAACCATTCATTGCTTTAATCTATGTGTAAGTCTTTCTGTCGTTTCTTTAAATTTTGCAATCTTTGTAATGCATACACAGAGAGAATTTTTTCTAGAACTACAATAAAAAATATTAAATCTATCACAATACGATATAAAAAATATGTTCGAATAATTTTACTATGTACATATTAATATTTTGTATTCTTATAAATATTAATCAAACTCTTATAAAATTCTTTCAAATACCATATTGTCTCACCATTATTACCATGATTTTTAAAATAAATTTTACACTTACAAAAAAAATTTATCGAATTCGAATAAATATTTTATTTCAATACTGCCTAATAAATCATTTATATTAGAAACTAATAATATTGATTTGATAAATGAAAGAATATTTATTTGATATAAGAAAATCTTTTTCAAAACAGATCAAAATATTCATTTATTTCAAATAAACGATTTATAAGGCAGTGTTAAAATAACTTAATTTAATAATTATTTTTAAGTGCAAGAAAAAATTCTCCCCGTGCGTATTTTTGTTTACTCCTCCTTTCATGCATGGAACTAATAAAAATTTAAAGATTTAACGAAGCGAAAAATGAACTTTGAGCGAACTATTTCCCAGAAATAAGAGAGGAACACATATATATACACACACTTAAGAGTTGTAATGCAAATCCGCGTGACCGACATCCGCTGTCGCGAGGAGTGCCCGGTCGTCTCGTCTAGCATTCCCCTTTTATCTAGGACCGAACGACACGCACGCACGCACGCACGTATGCACGTTCATTGAACCGTACATGATATCGCTCCGCTTTTGTCAGACTTTCGTGATGATCGAAGAAATGTCCACGCGTCCCGACGCCGGAGACAGGATATGAAGTGTCTATTAATAGCAACAATAACCGGAAACAATCTCGCGACATCGCAATTGCTATCTCATAAAATTGTAACATATTATTACAACGTGAAAAAGACGAAGGAAAAGTTGGAAGAGCTTTTTGGAAAGGGAACTTATATCTTTAGAAAATTCATTGATCAAATTTAAAAAATGTCACAAATTATCAAATTAAAAACATATATGTATAATTGTTGTTCGTTAGGATAGATTAAAATAATTATCCCTTCGATATGCATAATATTCTGTTCGTAAACAGAGAGCGATATATCTCTAGCATTTTTTGTATTGTACGATTTGCGCGTGTATCGCGATTTCAATAATATTATTTGTCTCATGTAGCCTAAATATTATATGTATACATATCTAAGCCGCGTTTAGTGCCGAACATGAAGATTATATTACAAATGTTATCGATTATATTATCAAATTGCGCCAATCAATTTATCTTAATTAATCGTTAATGTGTCTAGTGCTCAATCGTGCCGCTTTAGCGATAAAAGAGGAATTCCATAGCGATCATTTAAACTTTATTACGACATCTCCAATACTAGATATGATTATCTAATTATCATCCCATGTTTACATTCGATGCGATCTTGACATCGAGCAAATAAAATAGGGAATCACGCTGACAATTTTAACACTTATCTCCATTTAGCACCAATTAACGTTGAATATGACCATTGTACTAATTTTAAGTTGGAGAAATGTTATATACGAAAACTGTGATTGTTCGACGTCAATGTACAATAATAAATGACCAATTCAATAAATGTTTTTATGTAAATGTTAAAAAATGTTTGTCTGGCAAAAAGTAACTTTCGATAACTTTACCGAGTCTCATTCGTCGACAAACTTTAATCATTAATTATTGCGTTTAATTACCTCGCTAATTATTATAAATAATAGACTCGATCTTTTAATCTGTATAATTATATATTTGTCATAATGAAAATATAATATATTGTAATAAAATAGATATCTGCTATTAACGTGCGTGACGATTTTATTCGAGATAATTCGTGAAAGTCTTGAGAAAAATGATTGATTTCCATCGTTAAATTAAATAAATTTTTTCGACTATTTATGGCAGCAGACTCGATTGTAAATGTCGCAGTTTGCGACGAGGTCACGGATCGCAATTAAACCGTAAGGCGAGTTCAATACACATGCAATTAACAGGTGACCTATACGTGACGAACATCCGGCCTCCTTTCGCGAGAGAAATACGATCATGATTCTTTTATTCCCGGAACAAAGCCCGGAAAAACTCCTGGATGTCTCTTCAAGTAAAAGATATTTATGTCTTCCGTAAACGATTAGATTAAATCGAATTAGAATTTTATGGCGAAGCAACATTTTATTTTCAAATATTAATACGACTTTTGATGACATCGCCTCGATATTTGAACGATTTTCGCAGTTTTAAAAAATATTTTGGTAAATTGTACATGTGCATAACAATAACACGATATGTGTAGTAAGAAGAGTAAAAAATAAACATGTACCTGTTAAATTCTTAAATATCTTTATTGTTATCATACTTCCCGAAATAAATATCCTTCGTCGTCGCGGACTTCCTATATTTGTTTGCGATAATGAGACTTGTAAATCAATGAGATGGGTAGAAAAAAATCAACAATTGTGCCACTGAGCGGAAGGAAACCGCGCGATCTGCCACGATAATCTTTGTTATGCGATAAACTATATCCTTACAGAGTATCCGCGTGCGAAAGAAGCACAATGATTCAATTCTGGAAGCACAATCGTAAAATAAATCAGAGAATATTTTTCTAAAAATAATGTACATAATATATTTAACATTTTAAACACAGCTGACTCTCCAATCAATCAATATTTCTGTCGTGTATTGTGATTATATAAAAACATATTCAAACTTGTCTTATATATACATATATAACATTTCTCCATTACACTGAAAAGAAATTTGTTAGCTTGACTAAACCTTTCAACTAAATATTATTTTGTTATATATATATAATTGAACGTATAAAAATATTTAAATTAAATATATTATAAATCTAACAAAACGTATTTCGACTATTACATGTTCAATCAACAAAATAGTAATTTAATTGGAAGATTTAGTCAAGTTAACAAATTTTTTTAGTATTTGTTACATATACATTAGTGTGTATTTATTTCTTATTATTTTTAAAGGATAAAATTTCTAGATTAAAACAAAATTAAATATAAATGATATAAAACTATAAAGTCACCAGATAATAATTAAAAAATGGTAATAATTCAATCGACCAACTCTGGCAAATAAGTAATTTTATTGAATTTTTACAACGTTTCGGCCGTGGTTTTCGGCCCTTATCAAATGCTATGTTTTTAAATCAAAGTAAATCACAACTTTTTTAAAAACAAAAATTCGATCTTAGAATATGACATCATATAATAACATGATAGTATGAAACGAAATAACTATCTATTATTACTATCTATAGTTATTTCGTTTCATACTATCATGTTATTTTTGTTTTTTAAAAAAGTTGTGATTTACTTTGATTTAAGAACATAGCACTTGATAAGGGCCGAAAACCACGGCCGAAAAGTTGTAAAAATTCAATAAAATTATTTATTTGCCAGAGTTGGTCGATTGAATTATTACCATTTTTTAAAATTAAATATAATTTAAATAATTGACGCATAAAATATGTGACAAAAAATTAATATAATGCGGAATTCTATGTAAAAAAAAAAATTCACAATTTATATTCACCCGTGTCTTTTTATTCTTCTAATCATTTTTCAAGAAAATTGAAGCATGTTATTTATAACGATCTCAATTGACGTAAACACGGGACGAACGAGAACGCCGGCCATGCTGCACGTGCGGTGAGAAACTTGTCCAAGGATCTTTCGACACTCGACAAGACGAGTCGAAAAACGCCGCAGGGTATAGGCGAACAAAATACCGTAGTGCAACGTAACCTCTGGTTACGGTTTAGCAAGAGGTTAAAGAAGCCGAGTACAAAATGGCCAAGGATGAATAGCGAGCTGACAAACATGGATAAATAATCGATTGCCGATCGATTTTTTACCCCATTCTCTTTAAATCGTGTGTGCGTGTATATACATATAATTCTAACTAATTGTAACATGTAGATAAGAATGGAAAACATGTCATTTATCGTTGAAAAAAAATCAACTCGTCGAGTTATCGACTTTAATTGGCGATAGATTGTGATTTAAACGTATTAGATACCTCACCTAACGAATGACCTATATTTTAATGACAAATTCCTCGAACAACTTGAAATCGACTCTTTTCATATTCACTATAAAAGTTTTCTCAATTAAATATTGTTATAAATATACGACTATATAAAATTAAATCTCAACACGATACATTGAAAATTAATGAAAGAATGTTGTTTGTTTAAAGCTTACCGCGTTCGCGGGAAAGTCAAAATATTTGTGCAGAAATATATTTCTGTTGTACCAAAATATTTATCTACAATTTATATACATAAGATCGATAAGTTTAGGACCCGTGAGACAGAAAAATATATGTACAACCGGGTTTTCCGATTAATCAAAATTTATCCATGTCATCTCTTTTAAATCTTAATATAATATAAAGAAAAACATAATAAAGTTAACTGCGTTAATGGATTTTTTTCTATCGACGTAAGTCATTAATCAATTTACATTTTTTTTGTTTTTTTTTGTTTTTTTTTTTTTTTTTTTGCTTTCGATGATGCTCTATTAAATACAGAATACCTAGGTATTGTACAATTTGTTAATTGAATGAGTTTTGCCTCAATCAATTTTTTTATGAATCTAATTAGAAATGTCTTGTAATCGAATTTTAACAACATGGGCAGCATTAATCTTCGCAGAAATGCCTCTATCGATATACGTTGTAGCCAATAGGATTTATAAAAAGAAAAACAATCATTCAAATTACAGTTTGACATCGACGTTGACAAACGTGATTCATAAATGAAAGAAAAACCAAGTTACAAGCACACAGATTTTAGATTGTATACGTGTGTATACAAACACACACACATATCAATACATAACCGAGCAACTTTCCCAATAAACTTCGATTTTTCTAGCGCAAATTACGCGATTCAAATTTTACATAATAAACACAGTAAAAAAAAAAAAGAAGCGATCTCAACATCTCAATGTAATTAGATCCTGATCAATTTTCCATCTCTTTTCGACACGCAAATTTTCTAAGAGGTAGATAACATCTCGAATAAAAATAATAAAACAATAGAATGAAATAAAATCGACAGTTTATCGGTCAGAGATCGCGCGCTTGCGAATGCCGGCAGATGATGAGGCCTCTTCATCTCGTCGCCAATCGCCGGCGATTCCTCTTTCGCGAGCGATGAATCGAGCCGCGACGCGGCGAACAACTACCGCAACGAAAACAATCACGACGAGGACGACTAGGAGGAGCGAACGAGGAAGGACCGAGTCGGCGATCGAGAGTCGACGTGCGGGCGGAACGCGAGAGACGAAAACGCACGACGCACTTTACATACCTGATTCTCTGCTTGCGCGCACGTCCGACGATGATGACACGTGTACCGCACTACATCCACGACGGTCCACCTGGCACTCGGCACTATTAGCTCGCGACGCGGGCAGCGAGACAGGAAATCGCGCGATCCACACCCAAAAAATCCCGTCACGTTCGGAAAATACTGACACCTCACTGATAATATGGCCGCCGCCGCCCGCCCGCTCGTCGCTCGATCTGTCGCCGCGAAGTGGCAGAGTGGAGTGGGGTGGGGGGAGACGAGCACGAGTCATGCGCGTCACGAGAGACGCGCGCATGCGCGCTCGCGAGGGACGTGTCGCGCTGCTGCGCCACGAAAGCAGCGGTGCGTGAGAAGGGACACTCGACGCTCCGAAGTGGGATTCGAACGCGAATCACGGCGCGCTACCTAGACGAGAAACTCGCGCTGCGTTTTTGCCCCCCGGTTTTATTTTCAATTCAATCACACATAATCACATTATTATTCATATTTATTGATATACATATATATTTGTGATTGTTTTGTAAATGTTTCTTCGATATTTTTGAGTGTAAAGGATATATATAAGTACGCTTTTGGGAAATGAAATTATATGTGACAAAAAATGAATAAAAAATGAAATTATGACAAGAGATTAATTCGATATCGCGTAAAAAAAGTACTCACCTTGCATGCATTCACTGATAATAATACTGTGTACTATAATATGCGCAAACAATTCTTCGCGAAGCAATAAAATATATATAATATACGACACGTTGTTGACAGTTGCGTGCGGCGAACTGAATTAACTTACGACTGTTATATGCCTGATATATACCTTTTCATAAACATATTATACCCTTCCCACGAATCTCCTTCTCTCCCCATCACAACCTGACCTAGCGCATGCATCCCAGGGAGAAATGGCATGTTGAAAAGACGTCGAATCGATGTCTTTTATATGCGTCTAAGTAAGATCTAATTTGACGTCTATATAGACGGACAAATCTTTGAATTTCGACACCATCTAGACGTTAATATAAACGTCTATAAAATGTCTAATAGACATCTAAATAATTGATGTAACGGCTGTATTCAGCAGAAAAAGTAGCGTTGCAAATGTTGTAAAATTGATGAATCTAATAATGGCGTATAATTGGCGTATGCTTTTAGTTTTGACTAAACCTAAGCTCATACAATACTCAAATTCAATAATTTTACAACAGACACTTCTACTTTCTCTGCTGCGAACGCAGGCAATAAGTGCAGTATTACTTACACCATTCAGTGAACATTTTATTTTAATTCTAAGTATATTTTTATTGTAAAATATAGAATAATGTAATATTCTAATCAAAACAAATTGCTCAGTAAATATTCATTGAATTGTAATATTGGATGCATGCAAATATATTTTCTTTAGAAAATTTACATTACCTTTTTAATTTACGAATGAAAAAAATAGAACCAACACTAAAATTATTTGGATCTTGGTATTTAGATTGTTATACATATATTTATATAATTGAAACTGAAAGGATGGAAAAGACACTTTAGAAAATAATTTTATATGTATTATTAACCTTATATCTATTTTTTATTAATATGTATTGGACAATTTCAATACAGGATAATCTTTGTTGACATACTGAAAACTCCAGTATATGCCATCTTATCGTGTCTTGATATATATATATTATAAATATATATATTTTATATATGTATATATATATACATTCTTTATTAGTGTACATATATATTCTACATATACATACTTCAACTAAAAACTTTTATATGTAATAATTCAAATCAAATTTAAACCTGACAATGTCTTATCAGTTACATAAATAAAAAATAAGACAAATAATATTCAAAATAAAGCAGCAATATCAAAAATACAATAACAAAATAAAAATGACATAAGACTTCGCAAATTGCACATGAATAGAGATCATATTTCACATTCAAGAAAAAAAAATAATTAATTGCATTTTATGACGAATATTAAATGACCTCTTCCCTTTTAATGGGAAACCTCCCCCGTGCTAATTTGTATCGAGAAAAAGACCTTGTAAAGAGTCGTCTAAGAATAATAAGATATCACAACGCAATATTCTCGTATGCGAGCACTTTTTACCTCTGCTTTTCTTATACATTAGATTCTGTTAAAAATAAAAAAAATGAAATTGCACATTTTATTGCTTACGCCCAGCAGCGTTTCGTAGCCAATTTCTGACTGCATTTAAGGCATCTTCCAAATCACTGGTAGGAAATTTTAATAGCATAACTCCTAGAAAAAAAAGAAATATTTATGAATTTTTTCTACAATAAACTTAAGATGAAACAAAATATTGAAAAGAAGATAAAATACCTTGAAATAATTCCCATAGTTTCAGTTTCTTAAATGGCCTTTTATTAACTTTAGCCTTTTGAGGATTATGACCATCAAAGTTGAATTGTTTCGCTAAGGAATTAGTCATCAATTTGGTCATAAGTCTTGATGCTACAATTTTTTCATTATCACCTAACGGTTTTGTAGCTTTTAGGTAAGATGGGAAACAATACTCTCAATCTACGAAGTAAATCATTTAACTTCTTCATAGATAACACACCTCCTTCAAGGGCCCACTCCCTCAATGTTTTTAAAACATAGCGTCCTCTCTGTTCGTCATTTTCAAATTCAATCATTAAATCATCATTTTCTTCATCGTTACTATATCTGTTAGCATCATTAATTTCAACACTTCCTTCGCTGTCATTATTCTCATCTTCAAAATGTAATTCACTGTCATTGTCATTATTATAATTATTGTTATCATCCATATTTTCATTTTCAAGTTGATCGATAGATGCATCAGATTCTGTTGATACTTCAGAATTTGTTTCTAATAAAGAAATATCTTCAATCCCTGGAATGGGCAGCATTTCATTATTCTCTTCATCGGATGAAACCTTTTCATTGGATGAAACCTCTTCATCGGATGAAACCTCTTCATCGGATGAAGCCTCTGTCTTGTAGACAGTAGTAATTCGATTTCTTAAATCGTCCAATTTTCTTTGATTCCTACATTGCCTAACTAATTCATTAATTATTTGCTTGTTCGTATTTCTACGACGATTCCTACTTTCCTATGATAGATGTAAAAATAATACAAGAACAACATCAGTACTAAAATATATTGCTTATACTGCATTCACAATAATGTTATGTAATAAATTTTGATAATAAACTTTAAATAAATAATAGCAAAAAAGAAGCAATAGTGACAATATTATTATTAATAATTCCGTATATGTTGAGGTTAGTTAAAGAGTGAGTTAAAGAAAAGTGTATATATAAGAGCATACAATATTTTTAATTAAATAAATCAAAATAATTTATTAATATATATATAAATTATGAACTATTTATATGAAAATTGTAATTTATTTATGAAACAATTATAACCTACAGACGACTTGAGGCACAAAAGTAAAAAGTAGATTATTAAGAAATTATAAATTATGAAGCACTTACCGGTGGACTTTCACTCATTTTTGTTGGTGATGACTTCTTTATTAGAATAGCAATCGATCCAGCAGACTTATTCTGTAACTTTTAACGCATGCGTTATAACTATAATTCATTTGTTAACCATGAATTCGTCGACGATACGACGACTAACGCATGCGTTACAGTTATAACGCATTTGTTAAAAGTTACAGAATAGGCCTCCAGAAGAACAAATATTATCACAAGCACAGTTCAACATTCAACGAACTTCAACGAATGATCATCGATCACGGAACAATAACAGAATGAGTTCGTTAACTCGTTGCGTTAAGTTGGTACTATATTTAGTCGCAAGGCGGTGTCGCAACTCGCAACTTATCTTTTATACGACAGTTAAATCAAAATAAGCGTTATCGAACCAATCATTTAAATAATTAAAGTTATATTTTCATATAAAGTTTCCTCATACATAATTAGTAAATATATATATATAATATATATATAATAATTAATTTACCTTTATTTTTATAATTAATTAATATATTACACACACAAAGAGAAATTATACAACACAAATAAAAAAAAATATATATATATATATATGGATCACATATATATTTTATATATAAATTTTAATATATGTTTTTTTACATGAAAAGTATTTTATTATGGATTAAAATGAAATGTTTATTGATGTCTGGCCTGATTGTTTTAGCAAATAATATCGACGTCTAGTCGACGTCTAATTTGAACTGAAAAAGTTATAGACGTTATTTACGTCTAATCGACGTCGATCCGATTTCTTGTTTCTCCCTGGGTGCTTCAATCATTTAAATTCAATGACTCGCTTTAATTTTAGTTTTTATTTTTTTTTCGAATTATTTAAGTCGAATCGAAATTTCAGTTTATATATTTACCCCTTGTTGAAAAATATTCTACCAAAGATTCAAAAACGTTCTCTTGTTATCTTTTGCCTAATTATATATTCTTCTGATAATTCTTGAACACGATATATAGTAATTAACCTTTGCATGCATGTATCCATTGTTGTATGAAAAGCGAGAAAGATGTTAGTTTAATTTTATTGAAATATAATATATATGTACTTACTTCTCTATAAATATAAAAATAATATATTTTGATGTAAAAATTAATAAGGAATAACACGTACAAAAATTTCTTTGCAACTCGACATACAATACACACGGGGACAAGAATGTTTCTATGAATATGATATGAATTTATGCACATATCAGAGAGTATATATATATTGTATGCTATTAATCGATATATCGATTAATAGCACACAATCGATATATATTCTAACGAAAATATATATATATATATATATATATATTATTATTTGGTATGCAAGTTTTTCTTTTATAATGTAACAAAAATTATAAATTGTATTTTATTGGGAAACAAATAAACTCGATGAAACTTGTCACTATAGCAAAAAGAGCGAAACAAGTTGATTGGAGAAGGGAAAACATTTATTTAAAGTGTATCTCTGCCCGTCTACCTTATATACATTCTTGTGCCGCGGTTGTCAATATGTGACTTACGTAAATTAAAAAAGACATATATATATATATATATATGTATTTTACGTGATGTGTACATAGTGTCTATGTGTCTACCTACAAACACATATCGAATTAAATAAACGTAACGTTATGTTTGATCGTTGGAAGAGAAAAAAAAATACGCGACTGTCATGCACTGACTGACACGATTTTGTATATCGCTGTTCTCGACGAGGCTGAAAATCGACGAGCATGTAAATGAAGCGATATATATGCATTAAGGGAATCGAATTACGTACTCCGTTTCTTCGCTGTTATGCTACGTGGAGAAAAACGACGCGTCGTCCTACTATATTGTCTCGTCATCTCGCTCGCGTTATCATTCGGTCGTCGTCGTTCTGTGAAACATCGGTGCAGAATGTCATCAGCGACAACACAATAACCTAACCATTCGCCGCGGGAAGTTTGCTCAGGTACTGTCAGATACTGTGACAAGCTGAAATCCGGCCAACTTCAAGTCGGTGAATCGCTATATATCTAGAGTCTAGAGCCATGAAATATATAAAATATATATGTATTCGAATTTTCGGAAATTTTGTCCTCTTTCTTATTCTATCGTAATTTACACTTTGAATAATTAATTCTCTTGGCTAAAAATATAACGGATCGTTAGTATATATCGATATTTCGCTAAAAATGAGAGGGGGGGGAGTGTTATCTGTCGAAAATAAAAATAATTCGGCGCAATATTCGCGTAGTGTCATCTCCTCGTTTGAGAAACGTCAAACGTCAAACGTCACGCGGATGATCGCGGACGATCTTTTCTCTCTCCCGCACTCATCGGTTCATTTACTGTGAAATAGAATTTTTATAGAATGTATCATTCGTTTACGTCGTACTTCAAAAGGAATCTGTCTTAAAGAAAAGAAACAATCACTCATTTTTTATTTTTTTATTTTCGTTTTCTTTTTCGATAACGAAACTGCTGAAATTTTTTTGTATTATTATGACGTAAGAAAAAGGTTCACTCTCTAGAATCTTCGAATGACAACACAAATAGTTGTTTGTGAAAGTATTCGAGTTAACCTCTCACACTTCCGTCCGCGCAGTCATCAAGACTCCAAATCGTTGCTCGCAAGTATATAAATATAACGCGCGAAAAAGAAAATAAAATAAAAACGCGTCTCGCGCACGTAAAAAAACATCTTCCACATGTCTTGTGAAAGGAGGAATTTGCAGTCGAAACGTCTGTACACGGTTTTCGCGAACGAGAGTGTTCGTAACTACAATTCAATCATATTATATATCTGTCATTTCCCGCGTGATCGCGACCTAACCGTCTGATCAGGAGGGCTTCCTACGGAGGAGGAGGCTGCCACGGAGGAGCATTATTTTTAGGACCCACCACGTCGTCTCGCGTAAATAACATGTCCCGCCCGCAAGCCTGACGCTCCTTTACGAGGGATACGGATAAATATGGTTAGTCGCCGACACGTGATTCTTAACCCGGCGCGATGCTACCTAATATCCTCTTTTTAGGTATGCTCGGTTTCACCTACGAATCGTTCGTTCGCAAAAAGAATATTATATAGTTTTCACCATGTTCTAATTGTGCCTCATGTGGTTGACCGAGAGAGAGAAACGTCAGCGAACGCAAATATTTATTAATTGATTTTTTTCGAGTGACAGATCGTTTTTTTTTAAAAGAATGACACGTTAAAAATTAAAATTCATCGCGTATAACTTTCACTTTTTGTGATATTGTGTTGAAAATTAATTAATTCACACTAGAAATAAATTAATATATGGCAAAAGTTTCGGTCGATTAATTATCAAGTTATTAAACGACTAATGAGAGAGATTATTAGAGACTAAAAAATAAATGAATATATATATTCTATGAACGAATTATTCATTCTTTGAGCAAACCAAGTGTTGAAACAAGTTTACATTGTGTTGCTCATTGGCATATACTTATACAGCGTTCAAGCAAAAGGAGCATAAAACATCTTAATATTTCATGGATTCAATATAAAATATATAAATATTAAGATGTATATATTTGTATTAATTTACTTCAATTTGAAAAATTTTTACTTGACAAATCAACAATAACGAATATGTTCCAACATTGGACCTAATTAATTTACTTTGTTAATTAAATTATTGATAATATCTGGCATACATAATTATTTTATACAAATTTAATAATGTATTTTATCTTGAAATAGATATCTGTTAATTATAGGCAAGCAACTCGGGAGGATATTCAAATGAAAGTAATATAGCAGCAAAACGAATCAAACTTTGCAAAAAAATGTTTTGTTGGGGCAGTACTATACATGGAGAGTTGGGATTGGGTGGTATCGAGGATGAGAATATCTTTATGCCTCGACAAGTGGATTTTGCAAAAGCCAATGAGATCGAAGAAAGTAAGTCTCTTGTAAAATCTTATAAAAATGTGTAATTTTTTGTCACGAGAAAATACTAACTAAAAATTGTTTAGTTGCATGTGGAGAAAATTATACTGTAGCCATTACAATTGAAGGGCAAGTATATTCCTGTGGTAATAACGATTATGGACAACTTGGTCATGAAAAGGCAAGAAAAAGATTGCGTGAGTAATTTTTTAATATAATTAAATAATAAAATTAAATATATAATCTAGTAATGTATCTCAAAGATCACAAAATTTTGTATTAATTTTGCTAAGATATAATGATTTTGTACATATATAGAACACATACCTGGCCTGGATGCATTTGTATTCAAGAAAGTAGCATGTGGTAGTTGCCATACTTTGGCTGTGAACGAGTGGGGACAACTTTTTAGTTGGGGCTCTAATATGAGGGGTCAACTAGGTAATATATATGTTTACAATTTTTGATTGTTTTGTACTTTTTATATGTTGAAATGATATTTATAATGACACATTTCCTCTGAATTATAAAGATAATTATTATTTATTTATTATTTCAGGGTTAAATAGTGTTGATTGTACAGAACATACACCACGTATGGTAAAAACATTGGGTACAAGTGTGATAGTGCAAATTGCTTGTGGCGTAGAGCATTCGATTGCCTTGACCAATGATGGGGAGTTATATGCATGGGGTAGTAATACAGAGGGACAGCTAGGAATAGGACCTCATGTAATTACTGAAATAAAACCAAAAAGGATTTATACTTTAGCCGCTGTACCAATTGCATTTATCACTTGTGGAGGATATCATACTGTAGTTATATCAAAATCAGGTGAGTTTCTATTATATTTGATATATAATCAACGAATCTTTTTCGATGTCCATTCGATTTCGACGTTTGTTTGAACACGTCTCAACATTATAATTTAATTTCTCGAACAGGAGTTGTATTTGCATGGGGACGAAATACTTTTGGACAATTAGGACTAAATGATACACAGCAGAGGAGTGTGCCATGCCAACTACGTACTCTGAGAAACGCAAAAGTATGTTATGCGGCGTGTGGTGAGGAATTCTCTGTATTTTTAACATTGGTAAGTTTTATTAATTGCATAATATTATATTTCAAAAATTAATAGATTTCATTTTTATAAAAACTTATTGTCTGCGATTAATTCCAGGATGGTGGAGTGTTTACTTGTGGTGCAGGAATGTATGGTCAATTAGGTCATGGAAATGGTATGAATGAAATCTTGCCACGACAAGTTATGGAATTGATGGGTAGCACAGTAACACAAGTAGGTTACAACTTATAAATACAATATTGAATTAAAAATTTCCTGTGCAATCAAGTGTGTGATATTGTATTAATCATGTACTTTATATATATATATATATATATATTTTTTTTTTTAATATTTGGTATATTATATTTTATAGATATCCTGTGGCAAAAGACACACACTGGCTTTAGTACCATCTAGAGGTAGGGTTTATGCATGGGGTCTAGGTGGTGCTGGCCAATTGGGTAATCGTGCCTCACGAAGTGCCACAACGCCACAAGTCGTATTGGGACCATGGTCCTCGCCGAGCGGATCATCGATGAAACTCGAGCTGTACTATAGTCCACAAATCGATTGTGTCGTTAGACACATTTTCAGTGGTGCTGATCATTGTTTTGTCACAATTACCCCAAGAGAAGTGTGTGTTTTCTCATCATCTTATGCGGCTTTTTATTAATTTGCTTTTTCCAAATTTATATAAATTTAACTATATGTTTATTTTCCAATTCTTACAAAAAAAAGGAGAAAAAGAGAACGCGTGATGAAATATTTATCTTGCGTCGTTTCTATGATGATACACGGAATATTATTTTTGTTTAAATATCTACAGGATAATATAGAACCAGATGACTGTAGAATATTAGGGTCAACCTCCCGAATTCTTACAGTGACAGAGGAAAACCTAGCTGACTGTCAGAGGGTCCCATCAGGCTCACCAGTTAATCATGAATTAATGACGTGCGTAGAGTATATTTTATTTTAATTAAGAAAAGTTGTGTGATCTTATTATTCGCTCGTATTTTTTCATTTTTCTCGCGTGATATCAGATTACACAATTCTGATCTAAATTATTTGCCACAGCTTCACTTATATGGATTTCAATTATTTATCCAATGTTTTCAGTTATCTAGAAACTGTATTCAAAAGTCAAGCGTGTATAAATGCGTCTTTTTTACTTGATAATGAGAAACATTATGGTTGTTCGAGCAAAAATCATGGGGTTGATCTTGACCGCGCGATTAAATTATTCGGAATTATCTCAGAGTTGGAGAACAATACGATTCAAGACTTGGTATGATTCAAGACGTATGATGTACCAGAATATTACTTAGAAAATTTAACATTGAATTTATTGGCAACACTATATTCTCTTATTTCAGATTTTTACATGCATAACCGATAGTCTGATACCATCGTTCGTCGATTCTCCACCTGACGTTGAGTCCTTGAGAGTGTATTTAACGTTGCCACTGTATCATCGCTTTGCAAATCTATCAAATTTTAGTTCTCTACAAATGCCATTCTGCAAAGCAGTATTGAAACTGAAAGCAGAAGCTTGTAAGGTTGTGGGTATATGGTGGAGCGCAACCTCGGCATACTATTTTGAAAGACTAGTGAGGATTTACAAGTCTACAGTGTTGCATATTGTGGAGCAAATCCCAGACCAAGTAACTATACGTAGAAATAATTGCGTGACTGACGAATATATGCCTAAATCATCAAAGACTGTTTTGAAATTTTCAAGACTTTTTCCATCGTAGCTCTTTATTTCTGTTACAATTTTATCAACATTATATGTTTAGTAAGTGCAATCAAACTGGTACATCTTGACAGTATTTTTATTTTTTTCGACTATAAAAGACAAAAATCATTACAAAAAAATAAAATATTTTAAGGAAATTTTAAAACATTCTTAGAAAGAGAAATAGAAAGAAAAATCTCTTATATCGTAATAATAATTTGAAGCGTGTATTTTGTAGGTTGTTACATGGAATGAAAATCTAAAATCTCTTTTAGAACTGTTACGATTATTGTACAAATTAAATATAGTAGCTGGTATAAGAGTACCCTACGAGACATTTCACTTGCCAGAATTGCCCCAGCATATAGATATCAATCGTGATTATGTCTCGTGGATATCGGAAGATGATCGGAGTTACGTAAGTCATCTCTAAACTATCATAGCGAGTTCCTTCCCAGCAAACATAGTATATAAATGTTATATACTCAAGCATGTTACATGTAACGTATATGTTAGTTGTAATTTCCCACTCATAGATGTAACATTTTTAATATTACATATATTACATTGTAGTTATTATATCCCAAGATAGCACTGACTTATCAATACATCAATGTGCTATTTGGTATATAATTACAATATAACTACAATGTAATATATGTTATATTAAAATGTTACATCTATGAGTGGGAAATTACAACTAACATGGATGTAACATACACGTTATATTACCTATTATATTCCGTTTTATTATAGCAATGTAACAATTATATATCGGTGTTTGCTGGGTTAATTCACATTAATACAGAATAAATTATATAAGAGAGCAATATACTGAATATATTGTTGCGCATTATAATTCTTTGTTATAATTTTTCAGTATCGTAAAATATACTTTTGCAATTATCCTTTCCTATTCGATGCTGAAGCAAAAACTACATTGCTCGAAACAGATCAAGCTATACAGGTATAAAAAAAATAATATAAGTTGTATAAAAATAATCATATTTTATTTAAATATGTTGTATTTATAATAGATGCAATCCGCAATGCATGAAGCTGCATCACGAGTTCTAAGTGATATAATGCTTGGTTTTACCAATGGAAATCCTCAGCGTTATAGTCAATTTGTAGTATTGCATGTGTCGCGGAACAATATGGTCCAAGATACTTTGGAACAGTTATCTCGATATGATTCTAGTGAACTGAAGAAACCACTTAGAGTGAGTATCACACTCTCTAAATCCAGATAATTAGACGCATTTTTCAAGGATCAAAAGATTTTGATCTGAAAAGATTCCAAGATCTTATATAGTTGTATACAAATTCTTTCAGGTTAAATTTCAAGGTGAGGAAGCTGAAGACGTAGGTGGCGTGAAAAAAGAATTTTTCATGCTTCTCCTGCGAGAAATTCTTGATCCTAAGTACGGTATGTTTAAAGAATATGAGGAGACAAGGACAATCTGGTTTAACTCGGACACATTGGATGATGAATCTATGTATTTCTTAATCGGCCTTCTATGTGGCCTGGCTATTTACAATTTCATAATCATCGACTTAGCATTCCCATTGGCCTTATATAAGAAACTGTTGGGTGAAACAGTTGGATTAAATGATATCAAGAATATGTCACCCATAATAGCCAAGTATGTAATATTCCAGAATCTTTGATATATATATATATATATATATATATATATATATATATATATATTAACAAATTATTAACGAGTGTGCGCATTCATAATCACAGAAGTATGCAGAGTATTCTCGATTACAACGAATCGGACTTTGAAGAAGTATTTTGCTTAAATTTCGAGATAACCAGAGAAGTGTTTGGTGAGCAGAAAAGTTTCGAGTTTATACCTGATGGTAGCAAAGTTTCTGTAACACTAAGAAATAAGTACGTAAGCATTGCACACACATATCAGCATAGTGTTCAGAAAAGAGTAAAAGCTGAATATTTTTATCTATGTAGGCAACAGTATGTGAATCTTTACGTGGACTATATACTAAACAAGTCAGTGGAATCACAGTTCAAAGCATTTCACAAGGGTTTCCATAAGGTGTGTGGTGGAAGAGTGCTAGAGCTCTTTCACAGCCACGAATTAATGTCCTTAGTAATTGGTAATCAAAATTATGATTGGGAGGAATTAGAAAAGAATGCCAGTTATAAGGATGGCTATATCAAAAGCGATCCCACTATCGTGCTCTTCTGGCAAGTTTTCCACGAGTTGCCATTAGAGGAAAAGAAGAAATTTTTACTCTTCTTAACAGGCAGTGACAGAATACCTATACAGGGTATGAAAGCTATTAAGGTAAGTTATTAAGGTATAATAACATATTTAGCTGAACTGACTATGCTAGTTCAGAGTTTATACTTTTTTTCTAATATAAAGTGAAAATAATAAACTCTGAACTAATGCAGTCAGTTCAGTTAAAAAGACTAGATCTACAGTTGCAAAATCTTTGTATTAAATGTATCATTTGACATTTATTTTGTTGCAGATAACGATACAACCGATGACCGACGAACGTTTCTTGCCTGCTGCGCATACGTGCTTTAATCTGCTAGATCTGCCGCGTTATCAAACGCGTGAAAGATTGAAATACAAGTTGCTGCAAGCTATCCAACATAATCAAGGGTTTTCACTCGTATGAAAACGAAAATTCACGTATAAAGCCTTTTTCATGACTCATATAATCGTTTAATTGTTAACTCTACTTACATACGAATTTACATCCAATTACAAATTTAGCGAAAATGAAATATCCATGAAGAACAAGTTCCTTATGTAAATGTGTTAAATGGTTATTCATGCATAGAAAATTAATCGATTACTTTGATTTTTCTTCGATATTTAATTAGATATTAAAAAGGAATTCTGTATTTCTTACATTAGTCATGCATAAAAATTAAATGCTCAATGATTACACCCAATGAATTACATAAAAAAATCGAAAAATATATATGTAAAAGATTGAAATATTGTGATAATGACTCGTCAATGAGTTATGAAGTAAACGAGTTCTAAAAATTAAATTTAAACTTTCTACTAAAAAAAATATTGATAATTGATTTAAGTCGGCATTAGCCGGCTAATGCCGACTTAAATCAATTATTAATATTTTTTTTTTATCAAACATTAATGTCAATAAAAAGTATGATAATATAACTGATTATTTCATTAAATTTGATAAAGATTACGAAGAACAATCACAGTTTACGATTTTATTTGCATATAAAAATTCATGGATATTAATTACAAAAGAATTTTAATATGTAATTTATTAGAAAATTGTCAGTTGATTGCAAAAAGAAACATGAGATATTAATTTATTAATGTGCTTTAATGTACTTGAGTCGAAAAGAGGATATGATACTCAGGGAATGTCACTTAGCAGTTTAATGAAAACTTTTTTAATGCGACAACCACACAGACAAGTTTCGCTACTTTACAAGAACTCTAATATTTAATATCCGCCAGCACGTTGTTTCTTTGAAAGTGTATTTTCGAGCTTGTCGTGTGTACACATATTTAAGATGTATTTAAAAAGAGAAATGTGCGGATGTGTAAAGCAGCAACTCCGTATGATGTTTGCAATAAAATAATAATACGCACTTCTGAAAGAGAAGCATTTATTTGTAATGGCCAGAATATATTTTTTTAGGTTCGTTTTTGCGATTGCATTTTTTTATGGACATAATTTAGACAATTTAAATGATACAGGATATATTCGAGCTGTGTGTGTATTCTTTGATGAAATTTCATATGATCATATATGAAATATTTTGTAAATTGTTGACTTAGATGCATTTCTTGTATTATAAAACAAATGAGAAAATAAAGTTTATCCTTATATAAGTTATGTAATCACTGTTTCTAAAGCTTACTACATAAATTAACAAAAAAAAATCTATATATATATATATATATATATATATATATATATCGTGTTATATAAATTACAATAATATGTTAGCTAATAATACTTTTGTCTAGCATAAATTGGTATTTATTTATTCACATCTATATATTACATTATTAAAAATTATTCGTCGGTTAGTTAACAGACAGACCATCGCGCTAAATTGCGTTACAAAGTGTATCGCGTTTTAGTATAGACGATGCTTATTAATACATTAGTTTTTCTTTCGCATGTTTTTCTTTTTATTCGATCGTTTATTTCGTATATTTCGACGTTCGTTAGTCTCCATATATATTGTCATATTGTTTTTTCAATGAAAGTACAATTCTGCCGCTATAACTCTCGAAATATCTTAAGCGATTATTTATGATCCTACTTCTTTGATTCGTATGGCAAGCGTTAGTTTTGTAAAGTTTGCAGCATTTAATTTTATCACAACATTGAATTTTCATCACTTAGATCAGAAATTCCCAAACTACAAATGCGAGCAAAAATTTTTAAATTATAAAAAAAATAAAAACAAATCTGTTCGAAAGAGAAAAGACGTATATTTGAAAATATAGATATATTTAAAGACGTCTATACACTTTCTCGATAGATTTAGAAAAGAAAACGCGACATTTATAGTTTGGAAATTTTTGAACGGCCAGGCTCGAATAATAAATCGAACACTAAATATGAATTAGATTTTTATATAGTAAATTATTAATTTAAAAGTTACCCTGCAAAGATGAAAGAAAACACCGAGAATCAGTCTCTGTAATCAATCTATATACAGATTCGTGTAAGTGCGAAATCGGATTGTGGAAATTTCTCTCGAGAGAGATCAAGAAGCACACGAAAGCCTTACATGAAAGCGAGATTTCTTAGTATTTAGACTACAGTCTGAAAAAGTATTAACACACTAATTTGTGCACAGATTTGTAGTCCAAAGTATAAGAGGAAAAAAAACAATACCGCGAGATAAAATTTTGTAACGGAAACTTTTAGATATTTTCAGTTGACTTTTTAAGATTTTAAGTCGCTCTTCGTGCGCTTCTCGGATCTCGGAAGATCCGTGAACAACGTCCTGAGTATCTCGGTAATTTTGAAAGCACCTGAAATCGGAACATTCGGTCCCGTTCGACGAGAAACTCAGAACGACGTCTCATGCTCGTTTACTCAAAAAGTATACGAAATATTTACTAATTTTGGTAAGCCGGTGTAAAGTACTGGGTACCCGGCGGTGCTCGGTAACCCGGATAACTACTGTTCAGAGCATGTTGCTTAAAGAAACCGCTATAGTCCTTGTTCACTCGGCGAGGTCTAAAAGCCGGGCCTTTTGCGAGCTCTATCCTTGCTCGGTTTTCCGCCTCGGTTTGGGCCTTCACGGCCGCTGGTGGCCACTTCAGGTCTCCTCGCATGTTGCCTGTTGCCGGAGCCTTGGTTGCTGCAGGCTGGGCTTGAAACACCGGTGCTGGTGTCTGAAAAATTAAAATCAATTATTCTCGATAGAATATAATAACAGAATAAATATTTACAAAACAAATATGAGAGCTATTAATAGTTAAAAAATATTAAAACAAAGTTCTCTCACATAAGTTCTCCGATTTTTAAAGCATTTTTAAAACACAAATTCTTGGGATAAATACACTAGAAATCTCGGAAATTTCTAAAAGAATAACATTTTTGTTAGCGATGTGAGAAACATTATTCTTCTTTGAAGTCTACTCTATTTTATAGGAACAGCCAGATGCGAAGATATTCTTAGAAATAAATTTCTGACGAGCGATGTAATCGATGATGCTAAGAACACCCAAAATATTAAACGGCTGATATTCTGCCAAAGGCACGCTAGCTTAAGGCTTCTGCAAAAATATTATATCATATCGCTTCATCCAACAGTTCGCGGGTACTTTATTCTCTCGTTTCTTCGAAGCTTTCGCGTTTTCGTTACTGTTTGAGAAGGGATGCGTATGTATGTATGTATGTATATGTGTATATGTGTATATATATATATATATATAAAATATTACTGTATTATTTTTAGTAAGATTAAAGTCATGTGGAAGATCTGTAACATAATACCGAACGTTTATCAACACATTCGTTGAATTCTCTTCTAATACAAAACGTTTGATTCACATATAATAATTGAATTAATTATAACTCGTATTGTTTTATTAAATTTTACACAAAGCCGTCATGTGCAAAATATAAAGTAAGAATATCGTATTACATCGCGAAAATTAAAATATATTTACGAGTCATGCCCAAATCATTGGCAAAAATCGAATGGCACGAGCCAATCGATATGTTTAGGTCCTCAGCAATTTCTCTAACGGTGATTCGACGATTGGCCAATACTATTTTCTTCACTTTATCAATGTTTTCGTCTGTTCTTGACGTGCTCGGGCGTCCGGCACGCTCTTCGTCGTTCACATCTTCTCGGCCCTCGGAAAACATTTTGTACCACCGATAAACGTTGCTTCGGTCCAAGGTAGCTTCACCATATGCCACAGTCAACATTCGGAATGCGTCCGCGCACTTAATTTTGTTTTTCACACAAAATTTGATACAGATTCTTTGATCCATTTTTTGGAATAGGCAAAAATCGAAGACGAGCCAAAACACGTGCAAGCAAAGCAGTTGTCAAAAATTAACTGAACATTCAAAATGGCCGTACTTGTCGGCATAAATGAGAAACATGAGTACCAACATAACGCCACAAAAAAATCGAAAATCGAATATACGTAACCCGCGGAAATTCAAAATTCGCGATACTTTTTGAACACACCTCGTATATGAAAAATATAATGAAATAAAAATTCAACGAATGTATATTTTTATTATTATATTTAAAAATTATTAAAAAATATATGCCGATAACGCAAATATTAAAAATTCTTCTTTTATTCCTAGATTTTCACCTGCGAGATAGGCGGCTCAGGACGAAGGACAATAGTGGAGGGTGGTGCTTCGAACGCCACGGGGACAGATGAATAACTGGGTTGATTCTGTTGCTGTCTCTGCGGTGTCCGGTCGTAGGGATCCTGAGGGTGTTGCTGAAACGTAGAAAAGATAAGCCGGTAAGTTTCGTCGCGCATTGTCGCACATTGTCATCTATATCACATCCAAGCAAGAAATAAAATATCTATACCAGTTGCAAAATCTTTCTTGCAAATCTGCGCTAAAACATCTCTCTTACGACACATCATACGACGAATCTTGTATTGATACATTTCGCGATACGTTCTCCTTCTCACATCCAAGACTGCAAGCGCTTGCAATGTTGTCGCATAGTTTTCCCTTACCGAAAACTATTCCCGGCTCTTCCAAAATTGCGGTGGACCACGTCAGCCACGTCCATGCGAGCATCACTTACCTGCCAAGGCTGGGTCTGTTGATGCTGACTCGGAAGCGGGGGTTGATGCTGATGCGGAAGTGGCGAGGTCGCCGGGGGTGTCACCGGTGCCCAGCCCTTGGGATTCTGTTGTTGAAAGTGCGATGGTTGTCGCAGAAGCGTGCCGCCAGGACTCACTGGCGACGGGGATGATGGAACGGCGACCGTCGAGGGTGGTTGGGGTGACGGACCTGACGTGGGACTGTTCTGGTACGAGCCGAGATCACCGTATCTACGGGTCTTGCCGGAGGAAAACAGATAATTTTGTTCAGGCTCGAGCGAACACGCGGATTAGCTTGACGTCTCTTCTCGACGAAGAGAGGAATGATGTCAGTTTTTTCATATACGAAAATCTGAGAGACGATATATGCATGTTTGCGGAGAGATATGCTGTAGATCTTTCATTCTAAAATACATATAAAAATACTTATAGATTGAATTTTCTAAAAATATGAATTTATCATTTACTTTATTTGTTTTTTTTTTCTAAATATTTTAAATATAATCAATCATTTAGCTAATAAAATGCATTAAGTTGATCTTTTATAGAAGAGCTGAAAATTGAAAATACTGTGTGAAATATATGTATAATTGAACTGACAATAAGATAAGCGCAATTTTTATTAATTATATAATTATAAATTGTACAAAACGACTATTTAAATTGATAAAATTAATAAACTTGTAATTTGATCGCAATTCGCTCGAGCCAAGTATTGCTTGATTGATCAAATTTCCAATTTAACAATGATTTGTTTTTTTTTGTTTTTGGTTTTCGACAAATGATTCTATAGATCTGTCTTGACGATCACAATAATGTGATAATTCGTGTATTCAAAAGTGATCCAGCTGTTTTCATGTTAATAATGGATGTATATTCGTATCTTTATTTTTTTTAATGATATCGATATTCACTGCGTGCACCAATTCATTGATGAAATCAGAGATGGAGAACAACACTTCATGATGATATAAATATTCTACTTAAGATATTGATCAAGAGATATTTGTAATTACACGATAAAAATTTTAATTTGATTAATTTCACGATTATATTTAAAATAAAATTTTAATTCGGAACTTAATTATAGCTGATTTTAAAATTCAATAAAAGTATTTCAAAATTAAAATGAAGTGCAAATTTATTAGCATATCTTGCTTTCTCCATTTCTGCTTCAAATAAAATAACATTGATATGCATACACACAGAGAACGAACGTAAACATAAAAGAAACACATAACGAACATTATTGCATTCACTCTACACGCATAACAAGATGCAGGAACTATATGCGCTAATTGGACATAAATAATATTACGAAAAAATGCATACAACATGTAGACATTCAAACATGTTTTTTCGAATCCTTTTAAAATAACTTGCTGCGCACGAAAAGACACAAAAATTATATTAAAAATGATTTTATAAATACATTTTTGCTCCAAATAATTACGTTATATAATTATAAAATTAATTTTTCTTACAGTTCTCATTGATATTTTATTAGTTTTTATTTTTTCGTTACTTTATAAATATGTTAATTTCAATCGCAATATAAAAAAGATAGAGAATTTAAAAATTAATCAATTTTAATCGTTCATTATTGTCTTTTATCTTATCAGAGTCATGTGTCGTGTGTAATAATGGAACGACGAAACGTATAGAAACTCGAATGTCTATAGAATGTTGAAATATATGTGTGTAAATAATTATTTATCGTCTTACCTTCGCTTGGATGGGAGTTTGCTCTACGTAATCGAAATCTTGATCCTCTGGAGGCGGTGGCCAAGCTACTCGTTTGAGACCTAAGAAACGATAATAATAGAAATTTGCAGATTTGAAGGCCATTATCAAGTTTTTATTAAAATTTCTCAGTTTTTAAGATGATGTACAACTGCTTTAAAATATTAGTGATTTTTTTAACTTAATCATTTAGCTAAAAAGTTTTTTTATTAAAAAAAATTCTATTATAATCTCGGACGATTTTCGAAATAATGAAAGTAACATGGTATATTTTTAGATACTGACGTCTTTATAGATTAATATAAATATTTGAATAATCTCTCTCTTTTCTCTTTTTCTCGTTCTTTTTGGCATCGATATTTATTTTTCGTAAGCCAACCGATATTTCTCACATAATTTTAGAATATTACTGAATTATCTAAAATCTAAAGTGTTGTCAAAGAACTATGATCTATTTCAATTGATAGCAAAAATTATATCAGAAATTTGTTTGTCATTAATATTATATTGTTAATCATTAGTATCGTATATCCACTTATAAACGTGATCATTATTCTCATAATTGTCGTATCACTGTGATATCATGACACGATGATCATATCAATGCCGAAAATTGTCAATTCCTATCGAGGCACTTGATCTAATATTTTTCGCACTACATGATTAATAATCGCGGCGATATTATTATTACTCTTCCGTCAACAACATTTATCATTTTATCCCGAATAATATTTAATGACGTAGGATCCTAATGTTAGGCAGCTCTTATATGATTGCATCGCGAGTGTGTCGTAACAGGCGAATATTGCGACACCCTATATGGAGGGTCGCGGGTCATTAATCGCGCAAAATGTGCGAATACACTTCCTGGCAGCTGATAAAGTTCGCCTGGATTCTATACGTCACATACCGATCCGATCCCCGAGATGGAATTCGCTAGTTCAGCCACGGAATCGTGAAGATGAACGCGACTCTGCCAAAACGGACACCCGCCAACCAACTACTAACGCCATGGCGAAGTCACCTGTATCTTTCATTATCGCGGAAACTGGCTGGCTACCGATTTTAGAGCTTTTCTGGTGACCGGCCAAAGAGTAGAGGGGCATCGACATTGTGCCCGATCAAGGAGGGGCAAGCCGCACCTTAGAAGAGGACCATGTCGTGAGAAATGTCCGAGAGATCTCTATATATCCGAATGATCTTGCGATAAATCAGGAAGGTCCAGATTTATCTTGGCAATTTATAACAACAGTCTATTATTATTTTTACGATACTTTTTTTAAACGCTGCATGTCACAATAAATTCTTGAAGATTAGGATAACATATATAATGAAACATTTTTATTGCAAAATTAATTTTTCATATTCCTCTTTGGCGGTCATCAAATCAGTAAAATTAGCCAGTCCTTGATCCTCGAGAATTGATCCAAATCTCGAAAACGCGCTTGACAATGATGAATTTCTCTCTCCTAATCGGAGATTTTTGAGGAGAAATTAATGTAATGTATCCACAAGGACGCTTCTCTCGAATATAACGCTCAGTGTTCGCGCGCTGAGAGGCTCGTGTGTTTTGCGAAAATGTGTCAGTAATCCAGTGGAGTTACGTCTTTGAGTCGCGGCCAAAGCGTGCGGTATAACAAGAGTAACGGCTGTGTTATGCTAAATTGAAAATGTGTTGCCAACGATATCGGCATTAATTTAAGAAACTGTCGACTGTGATCGACCATTGATATTCGCGATATTTTCACATTATGAATCATCGCGATTATTAATCAGTGTGACGCAGCAACATACCTTAATGTGTCACGAATTAAACCTAAATTTATCTGAACAAGAAATCTCAATATTCTCAGTAAAATATCAAGATATAGATTTTTAAAATATAAAATATTATATTTTTACAATCCTTTTGACGTTTCTCTTCACTTACCAGGTTGCCCACCTCGCTGCCTCGCTTCTTCTTCTTCGAGCATACGTAGAACAGCACTGTTTTGCAAATTAGTCGGCTTGGCCAACTGATTGAAGTCGATCCTGGAGGAAGACAAATCATTTTCAAGAGCTCGGTTTATTAATAATTTCGAACGTTGCAGAAATATTCAATTCTCTAAACAATTTTGCATTTAGTACTTTTCAAAGTCGAGTGCCTATGAATCGTATAAATAAAAGGAAGCGCAATCTTTGGAAAAAAAAGAAAAAAATAGATAAAATTATTAGAACATTATATATTTGAGATTAAAATATTTTTTTAATAAAAGATATGAAAAAATAATTAAATATGTATACATTATATATAATTTTGCACAAAGAAAAAAAAGAAACTCTTCTTTTTTATATTTAAAAGCAAAATATAAATTCAATTTTTCATAATAAGATGCAACGGAGAACATTTTACTTCTATTATTTGCTTCGCTTTTACTCATACCATCCATTCTTTCGCGCATCATTGGCGAAAGTTGCACGTAAGTATTGAATGGACGAAGTTCTCCGCCTGTCAACAAGCAACAGGCATTAGAGTCGCGAGTTGAAGAGCTGCCAAGTCATCGAATAAGACCACACACATTGAATTTTCGAGAGAATTCGAAAGGAAAGGCTCACGATCTTCGCGAGATCTTGAGCACTTGTGAAAATCAATGATCACACCTCTTTGTGGCGATCATCTCGATGAGGGTTTGCGAAGCGGCGTGAATTGCGGACGACGATGACGTTAACGGAGGAAAGTCGGCGCGCGTCCGCGGTCCATCAAGCGCGAAACTAAGTCAAGTACGAAGAGACTGTGGTCGGTTAGGTGCAGCCGTCGGGATTTGCACAGGCCGGCGATGAAGAGTCCGGCCTCTCCGGCCGTTTATTTCTAACCGCGGCCGGTGATTCGACCCTCTGAAAATAGCTGACATCGCGAACTGACATCGACGCCGTCGGCTGATTCACTTGGCGTCGCGCGACCGACATCGGTCGGCGATCCGGACGAGACACGTGAAGGGTTCTCCTCGAGACGGAGGAGGCTGATACTCGATGATTGACGCAAGGTGGTCGTGTCGGGACCACTTTTAGATTCGCCGAGCGGTTTCGGTGGTAAAAGTATCGAGTGAGTCATTCAAGTCAATCGAGAAGATCCGCAGGATGCATCCGGGTTACTGTCCGCTCTGTTAGCTTTTAAACTAGGTCGAGGAATGTGTTATAAGCAGGTGCAATAATTTTCTCCATCGAATGACTGATGCAATTAATGACTGTAAAACGTTGGCAAAATTGAAATTAAGGAATTACAATGTATCTGTTTGAAAAATTATTTCTTGGAAATTTATCACTTGACTTACCCGACTGCACCGTTAGCCAAAACTTGAGTCTGCCTATCTAGAGTCTCCTGTATCGCTTGTGGCGAATATAAATTGATGGGAGAATTGAACTGCTTGTTCACATATCTCGTACTTTGAGTGGCCATGTTGATGTCTTAATCTCGAGAGATCTACTCTATAATTACTGCAACATAAAAAAATATTCTTGTAAGAAAAAGCACATGAAATGTATATAAAAATATTAAGAAACTTTTTAAATATTAAGGACTATTTATGATGATATTAAATAAATCTAATAATTAAAAATTATTTTTATAAACAAGGTCTTCAGGAGAAAAATATATTTTATTGGTTTCATATAATTTTATTCCCATTCTAATTTAAAGAATTTTATTTTCAAATTTTTAATCATCATACGAAAATAATGCTCAATCAATATTAAATAAACAAAAACAAAAGTGTCGATCCGATGACACACACACGACGCGAAAAATGTTCTAAATATTATTTTTATCTCGTTTAAAACGAGAAAAAATATTATTATTATATATGATGTCATTTTCTTAAGCGTGTCATACATGAATGACACGCGTGTCATTTATCTGCCATCGTCGCGCTATTTGCATGCGAATTCTGCCAAAATCCACTATATCGAATCGTGCGGCTACAGAATTTCACAGCGCAAATATCTACCTTACTAATAACGATTACGTACGTGTCTGCAAAGTAAACGCGGCAATAAATAACAAAGGCAATCTGTCGTTTTACGATCTGAAAAATTACGATCGTTAATTAATCTACCCTGGTGCGATTATCACAGAGACATGATAAACGGTGACATTTCTATCTTGACATGTGAGTCACGCGTATCACGTTCCAAATTGATCGCAAATTGCGCGAGGCTGAAGAGTAAGTGCAATTTCGGAAATTGGGTCGTCTCGAGAAGATCATTTGAAATGTAACGATCTTTCGAAAATGTTTGATTACTTGATCTCGCCGTGAAAGAGAGCAAGTGAGAAATTCTATAGTCGCAACGAGGGGATTATTCCCAGACTGGTGCCAAGAAATTCGCGCAGGGATGCATACATATAAAAAAATATCGTATATTTAATAAAAAAAAAAAATATTAAACAATAATCGCAGTGTTTTTTTTTCATATACAATTCAGCGACTATTCGCTCTCGTGCTCAAAGAGAAAAAATTTTAATTATATCCCTTTCTTCTCGCCCTTCATAGATATGCAGAATTTGGCCGATATATTAGAATTTAGAAAAATATAATTTTTTATACTCTCTATATATATGTTTTTTATTATTTTATTTTAAAAGAGATTTATTTTAGAATATGTGGATGTGTTAATTAATTAAAAATTTCTGAAATCGATGTCGCAGCAATTAAGTCTGTGGTTTCTTTAATAGTAGATACAATACAATCGCGAATCCAATGATATATACGTAAACTTCTTTTATGTTAAATAACCAGATATTTTCTGTTTATCGCGTTCGTATAACGAATTGCAAAAAAATATATCGGTCCACAAATAGCATCTTTTCACCTCCGTGTTGTCTCTCTCGTAAACACTTTACATTCCTCTTTGCACGTCGTTGAGAGATTTAACGCGCGTCTATTTCGAAGATCAAGAAAAATATTCGGCAGACTCGAAGATACGATTTACACAGCGGATGAAATTAATAGTAATATCTCCTACGTATTCGATGTGTGAAAAAGTATATTAAAAAGATATATTCAGATTGCTTCGAAACTTAGGCTACAATGCGAATCTTTTCTCAAGCTTTTCTGTGTAAATTTATCGAGGTTGTGCTTCATTTAAAATAGATCTATATATTTTATATCTATGTTCTTATTCAATATTTTCAAAGTATTATACGATATATTTGATGTACTATTTTTAATTGAATTTTTCTATCGAAAGAGATAAAATGATACAAATTAATTAAATCCCTCTCCTCGAAAATCTGAGCGATCTATTTCTGACGGATTCGCCTCAAATTTCGCGTAGTTTTTCAATAGTTACATTATCATTTTTTAAAATTTGTCTTTTATATATTTAACATTCTTAAATAATGCTGCTTAAAAAATTTCAAAAAATTGTAGTTTTTAATAGAATGAAGAGGGTATCACACTACTATATGTTTTCTGTGTAAAAACCTATTTAAAATTGCACAATTAAATGTGACTACCTCTTTCTTTTCCTCTCTACCCAGCAATTTGATCTTCATGATGCTTCCTAACATTCGCTTAATCGATCCTAAAAAACACGGACGTGTTTGACTCTCGAAAATCTCTCAAATTCTCACTAACACGTCCCTGTTGGGGGAAAGAGGGGCACCCACCGGTGGCCTATACCGTGGTTATTTTTGCCTAGAAATTCCTCCGAATATATCTACATCGTCCGCAAAATCTCTACTTCTCTCTCCTCCTACCAGCTAGTCTTTGGAGAGCGCATACTTCTCCTCCGGGTCGTATTGAATTACATTAAAGCTCGCACGTCGCCGAATAAAAATTGGTCGATGATGGAATGTGTGTCGATTTAATAATAGCATGCATCACAATTAATATTCTTGCTTGATAAAATTGGTACAATAATTTTTTGCAATGTTCTCACTAATTTGGAGTATTTCATAAAATACTGATATCAAATAAAAATTGAAATATAAAGCTCGCTTTTATATTACACAGACGCCGAAGATCGGTTTTTAATTTATCACAATTGTAATTTAGTTCAATCATCTCTAATTGTTTTTTAAAAGACTATATCCTAAAAATATGTGAGAGTTGTCGAGAGTTTAGAATCAAATTCCATTATCCAATAATTAGCTGAAATTGCACGAAAACTGTTTTCGCATCTCTTGAAATTTACGGAACTAATTTTCCTTCCTCTTTACATAACTCGTGTCTATTCTAAACTGCACCGATAAGTTTGAATAATGATGTCACGACCTCATTAAAAATTCAGTTTTTATTTATGCATATACCGTGCCAAATGCCATTAATAAAAAATATCGATCGCAAAATGATCGATTCTTCGAAATCATTCCTTATCTTAAATAGAGCGAATGTTGAATATAATCAATAAGTAATATTGCATTAATCTATTGCATCAAATAAATGTAACAGAGAATTTGTACATTGATATACAATCAGTAGCTATAAATTACTTTAGAATTATGAATATTATAATTTCGTAAATGAAAATAATAAATAACAAATTTTTAACAAATTTTACATTTCTCGAATATTTTTAGAATTTTAAGGACACTGAATTCTAATCGTAAAAATCTAATATTTGATTAATCACCTTTATCATGATCGTAAAAAATAAATGAATTTCAACATTATAAAATAAATTACTGTAAAAATTTAAAAATTAATTCTGCAATACCCATAAATTTAATAATTCCATTATGTTTCATAGTTATGATACACGTACAATCGTAACAATTTTGTACGAGGGTAATAATTTTTCCGCATTACGTTGTTTACCGATGTGACGCACGACGACGTCTATTTCTAGCGAATTGTTTCAACAATATACGATACAACGTCGCAAATAACAACTTTTGGCCGTTCGAATTGTGACGGATTCATCTGTAATGATCCAAGAATGAATAGACGGGACGGCGCGCCGAAAACGTGTTGTGTAAATTTCGATCAACACTTATCTAAAGGTGTCACGGGATATTCCCGAGATGAAAAGATATCTCGTTTTTGGCGAAGCAATGCGTTTACAGGTATATACATTCCGCTGACTCACAAGTCTCAAATTGTCCCGAGTATTTCAAATTTAATGTGACATTTTTATTACGTAAACAAGATACGAGGTATCGATGTTTTATTATTTCAATTAAATTATTCATTATGTACTGCTTGATTTATGTCACGATTAAAAGATACGATTTAAACATGCGAAAAGCAATATAGATATAAAAATTATATAATTTATTTATGGTCAAGCTTACAATTCGCAATTTATAAATTTTAAAATTATTTTGTAAAAATTCCCCCCAAAAAATATTTTAAAAGTGTTTATAACTATATATAAGAATCTAGAATTAAATTTTGATTGTAAATCATTGTTAAGTATAATCGATAATCCTCTTTATAATTATTAACGATTATTTTATTGTGAAACGCAATTAAATTAATTACTTTTGTCAAGTTTCTTGTGATAATTAGGCTATTGAATGTCAAAATATCGAGTATGAAAACTATCTTGCTAATGATCAATTATTTAAAGACAATTTTTCATAAAGAAAAATCCATAGAAAAAATAATATAATAGTTTAATAGTTTTATTGATTTAAATTTCTCAAAGATTTAAAATATTTCTTTTTATGTACTATTAATTTAATTTATTTTTACTTTATATTCCTCAATTTTTCTTAGAATTTTTTTACTCTATTATAGATTTTTTGTGTTTTTTTTTTTCGTTTTTTTATATTCTCGATTTTTTACACTCTCCCTGAACCATTTGTATCTTCCACATTTTCCACTCTTCAATAGCTTCCTGTATCCTGTATCTTCGTTTCCTTGAATTTTTTCGTCGCGGAACGCAAAGATGACAACAAGTGATGCAACGTGTGTTAAACGCGGCACCTACCTTCGGGCTGATATATGTAGAGAACGCGGGTTCCTCGGGTGGCGAAACAAACTGGACTCTCGGAAAAGCGAAAGCACCCGGAGAGCAGCCAGAAGACAACCATCACCGGGTCCCCTCCCTCACCCGGAACCACCGAATTCGTTCTGCTCCCTCGCCTCTTCCCTCATCGCGGTTATTTTTGACACTCAGGATGCTCTCTCCCTCTCTTTCTCTTTCTTTAATGTTCGCGGTATTCGGCGGATTTCCTGGCAATCGCGGGAAAATCTCGCCGAGGGTTTTCCCACACTTCAGAAACATCCCGATCGCAGAATTTATTTTTAGTAAACATATATCGCGAAAGAAATCGCACACGGTTGTTTCTCTCTGCTTTTTTATTTCTTTGCGCGAAATTTTCTGCAAAATAAATTTCAGCAAATAACAGGTAATATATACATATATGTCAAAGAATATTTTGAGTTTTTCAGACTTTTTTCTATGTGTCTTTTTTAATTTAATATTTTTCTTTCGAATATTAATTCATTGCGCTTTTATTCAAAGTTATACACACGAGAAGTTTGAAACTTGGCAGAGAAAGGTCAAGATGTAAATGATTTACGAATCATAAGTATTTATGAGTATTTCGAAATTTTCAAGTATATCAAAACATGAGATTTGTGCCAATTTACATTTTATGTACAATTAAAAAACTTTACCAACGAAAGCGAGGTGTAAGAAAACAGACTAGACTTTCTTAGCAATTATACCATAGGAAATCGAATATCACAAACATCAAAAGGAAAGAAAGAAACATGTTGAAAATAAATTCTGTTACTCGAAATTATCCATTATTGACAACCTTATTAAATTAATTAAATCGTATGCAAGCTCTTCTTCATTCATCTATTTTGCGTATATATACTTAATTTTCTTTACGCAAATTTATTTTCCAAGAGGTCTTTGTCCAATAATCGATATCTAATAATCCTGAGCATCCTTTATCCTTGCACAATTCAGCAATGAAACAAAGAAACGATTGTCCATCCACATTCGATAAGTTGTATCCGCAATATCCAGCGCAACTTCCCCGAGAATTCTATTCCATGAAATTGAAGATGCGCCAGCCGGTAAATTGTGCGCTTTGTGTAATCTACCTCGCTAACGCAAATGAAAATAAATCAGACCAAAGTGCTTTGACGTTGTACTTTACCTTGTTTATGGAGCTTCCCGTTGTTCCAAGGCGAAATGCGTTTCCACTTTATTAGAAGAGACTATCCGGCATTTATTAAATCGGTTCCTATAAAAACACAATCACATGAAATAACAATCACTATTAATCATTAAATAAATTAAAATAAAATACAATCAGATAATGTTATCAATGGATGATCGACGCTTTATATGTGAAAGATAAATTAATAGTATTAATAATTAAACAAGCGGGATTTTATAATTAAATATGATTTTAATCATAATTTATAAATATAATGTAAATTGATAATAAATAGAAATTTCCCAAATATTTCAGATTAAACTTATCTTATTTTTAAAAGATATATTAATTTCGATTGCTAATATTGAAGATAAAATATCTATATATTTCTTAAAATAAAAGAAGTTCTCAAAGTCTGCAAAAAATGAAGAATAAAATATTTCTTCGTCGCATTATTTTCCACGTATTGTTTATTGAAACATCCTTGTCCAAAAATATTTTATCAGAAGCTACATAAGCTTTCCGAAAAACAGATGTTCGCAAGTAGTGTTTTGAACCGATAGTTTCCGGTTGAGAATGTTACTATTATTTAGAACCAAATCAATGGCACAAATTTAAATAAAAAAGAGCTCCAACATTGATTGACATGAGAGTTTCGTAATTTTGTTATCGCACGTGTCTTCAACGATGTTTCTTATCAAGGCAATAATTATTATAAAACCATAATATAATATTATCTTACCTCTTGCGATAATATCGATTATGCTATTAATGAGATCATGTATTTATTATCTTGTGACGTTATCGCTGTAATTACGTTGTGACACTTTGATCTCTGCATTACCGTCTTTGGAAAGAGATCAACGCCTGCATCCAGGCAACCAGTCGTGCTGTTCTGCGGCCACTTCCTACAAACCAACATAATTACGTAGCATAATTATTTTATGTCGACAAAGACCATACATCAATTACAGGAATACAATTTTAATTGTCAGTTGCTCGAAAGGATATTTGAAAATTACTTCCAAATATTGAGCTGAATGTGTTCTATGAAACGTGAAATTCGTGTGAATATATTTTAATTTTATACGATTTTTTGATCGAAGTATGTCCAAGATAAAAATAATTTTCCTTTACTTCTGAAACAGTTTTCTGCTCCAGAAATGAAATTTTCCAATAAAAATATCTTCGAATGCACCGAGATATTTCCATATAGAAAATAATGCGACAAAAAAATCTCTATATACAAACCTTTGTCTCTCAATATTTTTTCTCTATTTTATATTTCCACAAAACTATTTTGCCGCGACTACAATCTATATTTACGCGTTTTGTTGCAACAACAAACGCGCGCCTTTTTTTTATTATGACAGAGAGAATAAAGACTCGATAAAATGAAAAGAAAAATCGACGGAAAAACAATTATAATTTTTCCAATAACTCGATTAAAGCTCGATAACAAAGAGAAATACCCGGATCTGCGTATCGGCGATGAAATAATTCACCGGCGAGAGAACAAGAGAGACGGAGAAAGAGAATAACCAAACGCGTCCGTCGATATACCTCATCAATTATATCGAGGAGCACCGCATCTTCCGCTTCCGGTTTCCCTTCGGATCCCGCCAAAACGAGCCTAAGGTATCGATTAGTGTATAACATTTTCTAAAACGTGAAAATTGAAAAACTTCTTCCAATCGCACATCGATTTCATTTTAAAATCAATCCGCGACTGACGAAAATGTTTCGCTTTTGACGTTTTCGCGTTGGAAGAAGTCAAGATGAAGATCGGAGCAGGTTTCGGAGAAAACGGAGCCTGTTACGCGGGAAAAACAAAGGAGGAATTTGGCGGCCGGCGAAGTGACAGATCCGAGAAAGGGTGAGGTCGTGGCGGCGTTTCCCGCGGTTGGGAAGAATGGAAAATCAATAATCGTAATCGCACTTACCGACTCATTTCCGCCCCACCGCTTCGCTTCGCTTCTTTCGGCTATCCGGCATCTCTCCGCGTCACAGCATCCATCGTGCCGCATCCTCCGCTCCGTCTCTCCCGCTCGCCGGCGCGTCACGTAATGACGTCTCTCTCTCTCTCTCTCCCGTCACCCATGCGGTCTCCTTGCGCGTGAACGCGGCCGCGAAAGGGAGACGCGCAGTGCTGCCAATCCCGCTCGCAGCGCCACCGCCGCCGCCGCCATCGTTGACGGACGACCGCCATTATAGATTCCGTTGTGAGTGACCGAGTCTCCGGCGCGTTGACGATCAACGGGGAACTTCTTACGGAAAACTCCGCCGTGCGTTTTCGACATTACACTCCGTCGTGCACTTGCCGCAAATTCCGAGAGGAGGATAAGGAGGCGGAGAAAGGAAGACATTGACCGGGATAGAAATTCGCCGCGAGAGAGCAAAGGATAGGAGAAACCGGAACTCGTCCGTCACGATGAAAACGTACAGCAGAAAAAAGGGCGACAGCCCGAGCAACGTGATCATTCACGTCAACGAGCTGTGCCGACTGTGCTTGGCCAAGGAGGAGGAAATGGTGCCGATCTACGACGACGAGACGATCCCGTTGCCCCTGCGGATACTCGCCTGCATCAACATCGAGGTGGGAGTTTCGTTTGTTCTCTCTTTATGTCTCTCTCTCTCTCGCTCTTTTGAGCGCCCGCGAAAATTTCTACGCCTCATTCGATCTCGCGATGATAAATCCAGGCGGCAGCTGATCGAAAAATAGGAATCTAGTTTATCTCTGCGCGCCGTACGGCGTCCTTTCGCATTATCTTCATGTCTCTTTCGTCGCCCTGTCCCTCGCGTGTCCTTCGCGCCATACACCGATCGCTGTCGTGTAGGATTCGCGTGTACAGGGTGTTCCAAAAAGCAGCGGTTGCGCATTTATTCGGAAATTATATGTATAGTCTACGTTTGCGCGTAAACAATGTCGATTATATCACGTATCGTGGAATTCTTGTTGCAGTGAATCATTCTGTCTAGCTTTTTATATTCTTTATGCTTTAAATATGTATTTCTTGATTTTTTAAAAATATTTTATAATATATGTCTTATTATAATTGATTTTATATATATTTTAATTTATACATATCTTAATTCATACTAAAATTACATACAGATATTAAATGTCAATATATATATATATATATATATATATATATATATATATATATATATAAAAGCACTTTCTTGGAATTCTGACATTTAATTTAGAAAGCTTATATAATTTCCATTTGTCTACAAAAAGTTCATGTAAACATCATGTAAATGATAGTAAACAATTCATGTATAGGTGTAATCTTGAAATTGATGGCACAATCCTGCCCAAAAGTTCTGCGATGGTCAAATATCTCAAACAGTTTTTGAAAAAAATTTGTTTCGAGTAAAAGTTATGGAACTTTAAGAGACGCATCAAATAGTAATATTAGTGTGGTTAGCATTATAATGTATTTACTTTAAAATTCTTTAATGGAAATGCTTCTATTTTTGATTGCACATTCTTGCTTATCTCGAGATCTTTTCAAAACATAATAAAATAGTTTTTTCATGTGATGCTTTTTGAATTATAATACTTGAAGTTTACAGTACTTTGACATAAAATAATACAAAATATCTTATAAATATTTAGTTTTCAATAATCTTATCTTCATACTTTTATACATAAGATAATTAGAAAAAAAATCAGTTGGTGTAAAGAAAATGCATAGTTATTTTTAAGAAAATGTACATACAATTTGTAACATATTTTTTCTTAAAAACAATTATGCGTTTTCTTTACACCAATTATTTCTAATTATTTCATACATAAAAGTACTAACAAGATAGGATTATCGAAAACTGAATTTTATAAGATATTTTAATTTTATTTTAAAAAATATACTATCTTTTTTTTTTGAGGCCTCATAACTCTAAAAATACTTAACACAATAAAAAGCTCTTAAGATAAGCTACATGAATACGTAATGAAAAATACGGATTTCCATTAAAAAATTTCAAAGTGAATTTTACCTGGCCTTAACAATGCTATTTGTAATCACACTATTATTACTTAATATGCCCTTAAAGCCCTACAACTTTTGTCGAAGCATTTATCTGAGAAAGTCTTTGGTTTCGAGTTATTTAACTGTTGCAGGACTTTTAGGACACCCTGTATACTTAACACATTCACATTTACACAGGAGAAAGAGAGAGACGTAAATATGTCGGTGATACGACGTTGCGCGAAGCAACTACCGGCTTTACCGAGTTATCGACGAGCTGCCACGATAGGGTACGTCTTTTACGGCCTCGCGCCGTCTCATTGCAGAGACCTAGACTCGCGTCTGCGATCGCGTTTTACCCTACGGATTTATAGAAATCTGTAATATTAGTACATCGGATACAAATAACGCGGTGGTGCGTCCGCTGCTGGACGTAAACAGACATTAATCGCGATGCGATTCCTTCGAGGGATGATAATTGCGAATACTTCTTTTTGATCGGTCTCGTTTGATGCTCGCGTTTCCTCGATGAATGACGATCTCTTGATAGAAAGCGGAGGATGTCCGGAGGAATTCCACATGCCGATCTAAAATATTAAATATAATAAGAGGTAGAAATGTTAGACATTCGAAATATTAAATTATAATTTTTCTGATTTAATTAGGGTGTTAAAATTAAAATATCAACTCCAGGCTTTTTCTTTTTTAACACTGTTAACTTTACTATTATATTCTTAGTATATTATATATAGAAATAAAAACATATTGTTTTAAATATAATGTACTGTTAATGCATTATTAATGTTTTAGGTCTATGAACAGGATGGTCTACCTAATATGATATGTCATCCGTGCAAATATCAATTAGAAAAATCTTACCAATTTAGAAAAAAATGTCAAGCTGCAGATGCCAAACTCAGAAAACATATGAAGTTGATACAGCAGTTGACTGGAGACAAAGAAGGCGAAAGCCAGGATAGCAACAAGGATGATTCAAAGGAGTCCACCACTGGCAAATCTAAACAAGTTAAACAGTTGTTAGCTGATCTAGTTTCGACCAAAGGTGAGAATAATCAAGCAGACGGAGATCCAATCCAGGTAACAGAGGAGGAACTTGTTGGCGGATATATCTTGGGTATGTTTCTTGATATTAAAAGTTACTTAAAAAAGTATTTGATTTATATATTAATGTAACGTTATATATAGGAATGAATTCCGAAAATCCGGAAATGGAGGAAAATGTTTCGGAGGATCCAGAAAATATTACACTGGTGCCTTCCGAGGAACGAACAGCCAAGGCACGATGCACAATCAGAACAACGCGTATTAAGCAGGAACAAGAATCCGAGGATGAAGCGGAAGAGGTGCAGAGAGCGATCGCGATTGCAGATCACAAAAATGTATACATGATGGAACTTACCAGCAACAGTTCCACTCAAGGGGAGTCATTGAAACTGCAGCCTATGGAAGATACCATAGGTAAAAAACATGAGAATGCATTATCTGTAATAAAATAAGAATTACAATAATTAGAATCGTTATAAAAATCAAAATTGTATTGTACAGTTGACGCAAATTCAGAACTGAAGGTATTCAAGTGCGATAAATGTCCGAAAGCGTTTACTCGAAGAATAATGTTGAAGAGTCATCAGTCTGTACACTCCACGCAGAGAGGTTTCACATGTCAAGCATGTGAAAAATGGTTCCCGACAAGATCTGCGTTGGTGAGACACGAACGTACACACACAGGTTGGTGTTGTTTCATATTAACTTTGTATTTTGGAACAAATTTTTATTTCCTTATATTTTTCATTGATATATAGATAATCATATAAATATAAAAACAAATATCTATTACCTGTTGAGGCTACTATAGAAACGCATATGCGCGTTATTTCTATTTCTGCTTGCAGGCGAGAAACCATTTGGCTGCAACATCTGTCATCGTGCTTTCGCGCAGAAGGAGATCCTATTCCGTCATTTGATGACACATTCTGGTCAGAAACCCTTCCAGTGTCAACATTGCGAGAAGAGCTTCACGCAGCGGGAGGCTCTTAAGGTGCACATGCGCCGACATCAGAAACTGAATCCGAATGATATCCAATTGCATCATTGTCAGCTCTGTCCAAAGGCGTTTTGTCACGCATCAGGTCTTAGCAGACACTTGGTCACGCACACTGGCAGAACGTACAAGTGTGTCGAGTGCGAGAAGTCTTTCACTGATAAGAGCTCGTTGTTGAGACATAGTCGTATCCATGCGCCCAAGAAAATCATAGCAAATTGAGCAATGAATCTTCGTTGCTCAGTTTGTTATGATTTTCCTGGGATGTCTAGGATACAAAAATACTTCTTTAAAACTGACAACCAATTGTTAGAATTAGACTTAAATCAATAATATCTCATTAATAAGAGAAATCTCTACAATAGGTTTTCAGAAGAAAGAATCAAGATTATTTCATTTTGCAATAGTTTAGTCGCATAATATTTACATATAAGCAAATTCAATATTAACAAACATTAATTTTGATTTTGATCATCCTTGTATAATTGCTGTAAAAAGGTGCAATTTAAAGGATAGAATTATTCTAAACAATATTTTTATATATACATTCTCCGAGGAATATACACACTTGACACGTACGCATAATGAAATATGTGGAACTTAATATTCAGTGAATTTGGTCACCTATGTTACATTGCACTAGTGCATACTGAAAACTACTATATTTTAATATACAGACATAATATAAACATTCTGACGAAGTTGTACATACCCAATATCGTTACTTATTTAATCGTCAAAGTGCTTATATTGTGCACTTGTGCTTAATATATAGCAATTTTCAGTGTGCAATAGTATAATGTAGTATGAATGATTAAATTTGCTATAACTTTTGAAGAACACAAGAAATCTTTAAATATAAAGAAAAAATTAAATACAATGTCAAATAAAAATATGGATACAAGCCTAAGTAAGTACTCAATGTTTTAATTATTTGACTTAAATTTTTGTGCAACGTATACAAGGGTAATTGAAATAATCGTGTGTAATTTTAAGTTATAATATTCATTTAAATAATATAGTTTTGCTTTTACAGGATTGGATCCATACTACAATCGATTATATTTTAAGTTGCTTGCAAAACAAATCTAAAATTACTTAAATACAATTTACATATTAAAAGTATCGTTACAATATAGTACACATTTAGCATTTTTGGTACACTATTAAATGCATTGATTTATAATTTATTTTCTACTAGGCAGCAATATATGCAATATGATTATATTATATTCTTGTATCTCATTTATTACATTCTTATATAATTTTTATATGCATAAAAGATAAATTCATCTGGTATAACTCTTTACAATGTATGTTTATGAGTATTCGTAATTGATGTATATAGTTTTAAATATAAGGATATATATCATTGGAATTCATGTCATTTATTTATACCCTATAAATAACTTTATATATTATTTCCATTATTTCTCAAATTTATATATTGTTGACTAAACTATACATTTATACGATTATTATAGAATCTGTATAAATCGTAATGAAAAGAAATTTTATATATATATATATATATATATATATATATATATAAATTCAAAATATAAAAAAGAAACTTTAAGTTCCATTAATGAGGATATGTTATATATTTTAATTAAATCTTTTTACTAGATACCTATAATGTTTTATATTGTAAAAGTATTTCTATAACAAATTGCACAAGAAGTAAAGGCTAATTTGATTACAAGAATTATACTTTTTTGTAACGATTTTATATATATATATTTATATTACTGAAAAATGACATAAATAGGTGCAAATGCATATAAAAATTGTTCATGAAATATAGCCAGTCGCAGTGTTTTGTGCAACAGAGCTCATATTGTTTACAGAAAATACAATATTGGTCCGTTAGGTGGAAATTATGTTATTAGGAAGATCAAGGAGTCAAATGTAGAGAGAGAAAGAGAGTATATATATACAAACAATTAATGACAGTAATATTTTTTATTAAAAAATCCGTTTTATTACGTGTCTTTGTTTTACGATTTTTGTGCACTATTACATATGTAATATATATATATATATTGCCGATATTATAATTTACGTCGCAAATCGCACACATCAATTCTGACAGAGACTAAATCTTTATACAATTTCTCTATATTTGTTTCCCATTAAAATCTTCGATAATATGTCAGACAAATTGTATCGGTACCAAAAACAATTAAAAATTCTACATTTTCGAGCTCCGTCGCACCATATCTGTGCTGGATCTCTACCAGGATTAGATTTTTTTCTTTTAATATTTGTCGCTAATTATTCTACTTAGTTAAAACTGAAATAGCAAAGGGGGAAATGACCACATGATATTTTTTTGTGAAGCAAATGTGTTCTCTTTATCGTATATTCGCACGCACTATAAATCAGCGAAATCTAATTCCTAGAGAACGAAGAACGACGCTGATTATAATTAGCTTGATGAATCTTTATAAATACATGTCTAAAATGTTTTAACAATGATTTTTCTCACCGACGATTTACTGATCAATCCGGTAATATTATGTCGCAACTATTCCGTGAAACTCCCAAACATATATGATACACAAGCGTCATTTCCTGCTTTGCTACATATACCAAGGACACGTCATTGTCGTCATTTTTATATTTTCCAACATTTTCCCCGCTTTAACGATTGTAATGATTCTAATGAAGATACATACACGAAAGATCGATCATATGTATATATAGCGCTAAACGTTGAAATAAAATAAAAACGCTAACGTATCGAGATCTGATTTTTCATGCATTTAAAAATTAGATTATGAATAAATCGGAGCATCGAACTTTCGCGTACGTATGAGCGACTACTAGTACCGTGCTAAAAACCTATAGAATTGCAATTGCATTTTTTAAATCTGAAAATTCGTATCGATGTAGCGCCTGTTTATACATTTTTTGCAGATGGGAAGTTATTTGCTATAGTAGGTTTTTCTTTTTCTTTTTTTTTGCTTCCTGCATCAACGATAAAACCACGATCTGGTTATGCCAGATTGAATTATCTAATCGAACGTTAAAGAAAGAAGCTTTTAGGGCATGAACATGGGCTTACAACAATACGAGGCTCCGTGATAGATTCGGTTTACCCCTTTTTCCCGCGCGATGCATTTATTGTACCTAGATGGTTGTTTAACCGTGTTATTGAGAGGCATTAATCACCCGAAGAACCAATTCCGCGAAAAGTGAAGGAAGAAATGACCGTCCATATCCGTGTGTCGGATTACGAACGAGAGATTTGTACTATATGTCTGTCATCATAATAATATATATGTATACAATAATTCGGTATACTCTCCACGAAAAAAAGAGCTAGAAAAAGAATCTCCCTCCCCTCCCGCCTCCAGTCCTCGTTACTGCTAATATATTGGCATTGAGAAATCGGTGGACTTGGTGGTAGTTGCGGCACGGAGATCGAAGAAAATCTCCAAAAAAGGTCTCGGGCGATATTTTTGTCATTTGATATAACACGGTTACTGAGAGAGAGAGAGAGAGAAAGATAGATAGAGGAAGAGATAGAGAAAACAGACGTTTTATCGGATGTCTAATTAATCGAAAAACGCCGAAGCCAACTTAAAACTTACTCTCTCATCAATCGAGAATCAATTTTTTTGGTTGCTCCCATGTGAAACCATCGCGTCCAAAATGACCATATGTACTGGTTTGTTGGTAAATAGGATTGCGAAGATTCAGCTCCCTACATAAGAATACATAGTTATATACTTTTAATTATACTTTAAAACATTCCTTCTGTGTTTTCTTTATTATTGAATAAATTATCTTACGATTCACCGTGATATATGGTAAGAAGTATTGAAAAACAATGTTTACGATAACAAGTTGTGTAATATATAAGTTGATGATAAAATATGTGAGAAAAATATACGAGAAATATACATACTTGACAATCTTTCCGGGTCGAAGATCAAAGTTTTTGTTCACTATATCTAAGAGCTCGTTCTGGGAGAGTGTGGATGTACCATAATCGAATACTGTTATTGATAACGGTTCTGCTACTCCAATGGCATAGGAGACCTAATAATTGCATTTTGTTATATATTACATGTAATCAAAATTGCATTAAAAATGTTGGCAAAAATTTTACCTGTACAAGACAGCGCCTGCAGAGACCGGCTTTTACCAAAGACTTTGCTACCCATCTTGCGGCATATGCAGCTGATCTGTCTACCTTTGTAAAATCTTTACCAGAAAAAGCGCCACCACCGTGCGCTCCCCAGCCACCATATGTGTCTACAATGATCTTTCGTCCTGTGAGACCAGCATCGCTCTAAAATTTTTAGTAATGGGTCTCTTAATTTTTTACAAAAAATATAAATATACATATTTATAAATTTTATTAAGATTTTGCTAATTAATATTATTTACATCGTAAAGATTTTGGCAATACCTGTGGTCCACCAATAATGAACAGCCCACATGGATTGACATGAAAGATTGTTCTGTCGTCCAAATATCTCGCTGGTATCACTTCTTTGATGACTTTCTCCATGATCGCTTTGCGTAGCTCGTCTAGACCGATTTTTTCGCTATGTTGCAGCGATACCACAACAGTATGAACTCTTATAGGTACACAAGCCCCATGATCCATGATGTACTCGCAGGTCACCTGTCATACATATGTAAATCATACTTTAACTAATTATATTACATTTTTCAATATTATAAAAAAAATATCCTCAAAAAATTATTATTTAATGAATTATTCTCAGTTAAATGTTGACATCATGGCACTCAAGAGTAGCAAATACAACAATCATCACTGAATAATTCTGATTATTATATGTAAATTTGTTTACTTATAAAGTCAAAATCTCCGAGCGTGATAAATATCGGAATACGATTCGGAATTGAATCCGGATCTTTCAATTTGCAGAATGCTTTGATCTACGAATCACCCGGTGCCTTCAAAAACCGATGCTCTTTTTTCCGTTTATCTAATTATTGGTAAACGGCGCTTATAAATTAAGATAAGTAAGAAATGTATGGAGTCAAACCTGTGTTTTGGAATCTGGACGAGCCCACCATAATTCACCGCTTCGTCTTAATTCGGCGATTTTCTGATTCAATTTGTGCGCCAACACGACCGTCAATGGCATACATTCATCAGTTTCATCGGTTGCGTATCCAAACATTAGACCCTGATGGAAGAATTTGAGTTATTCCAGCTAAAATTTATGAGACATAAGCTTGAAGCGTATCAAACGGATACTCGTACGTATTGTCTTGTGTGTGAATAAATCAAAGCACATTTTTGTGCATAAAATAAAAGAAAGTTAAGAGCTTAGAATAGAGAACAAAATGAATAAATTACTACATATACTAATAACTATATTATACAATATATAGTCGTAAAGAAGCGGTAAATCTAACATGCAATAAAATGTGCCACATAGATCAGAACAGTAATAAAATAAATATAGCAGTAGAGGGAAATAATCTAACCGAGGAGGAATATAAATTAAGAATAAATTAGCTAAAGTTTAGTTTACAAGCTATTTACAATTCGCATTCGTTAACTACACAGCTATAGCATTTTCTAGTTTAGTTACATAATTACACACACTACACCTAATGAATTGAAATTACAATGAAAGTTTTACAATTATGAGATGGAATCTTTTTCTTATTTTAACACATATTCTAATGTTAATTATATCGAAGTCATGATTATTCTACTAAGACTGCTATCTATTTACAATAGTGCAAAACATATAAATATTTCTCCAAAATGCATGAACTTTCGCACACAATGCATACATCTTACACATTCATTTAGTTTCTCTACACTTTTTACATCTCAGATACATATTTATTAACGCATTCATAAATGCAACTTTGTTGTGTGATAACGTAATAAATATGTGAAGGACACTTAGTACGTCAATCGCACCATTTTCATTTCTACAGTGATGAAACAAAGACTAGTGGATTGATAAATATAAATAAAGAAGATAGAGTAATAAATGTTATTTGCTACTAAAGAAACATACTTAGTAGCATAGAAGTGCATAACAATCAAAGAGAGAAAAACAGGAGACAAAGAGAAAATGAATGAAAAAGTTTAATGATGGGAATGCTAATTGACCTGATCTCCTGCTCCCACTTCCTCGTCGCTACGGTTTTCATGAACGCCTGCCGCGATATTTGGTGATTGAGCATCGAGCGCCAACAGAACATTGCACAGCTTGTAGTCAAAACCTGTAGAAATCATCACAGTGCGGTAAGACAAGTTATTCGCTACTTTATTTAACGTGCGTCGGCGTCCTCTCTCTTCTTCTACATCGAGTCTTCTTTTAGATTTTTCGTATGAGATTTCGCCAGTGCATCTCAGGATTCTTATCAGGCCACGATCGATCCTAATATAATTTTAGCTTGATTAAAACTAATAGGATTGCATGTACAAGTCCAGATATGAAGACCCTTATGCAAGACCTCCAAATATTGGAGGTTTTGAATGTGTTAACTCTCTCGAAAATTTTGTATATCTCGTACATTTTTACATATAGATTATTTTAGTTTTAGACAGATCTTTTTGTATGTGCACATACATGCAATTTGAGAAAAAATAAATTTTTTTTATACTTGCACATGTATCCAAACACAGTACATGCAGCCTTATTCTAAATATGGTAACTAATATCGGCACTTTGTTGGAAACATATCCTAGTGCTTTAATTGTTATCCATTTCTGAGATATTTCTATTAAATTAAACATTTCTTACACACCATGGATGTGCAGAATTTTGTGCACAATTCTTTTTCACATATTTAACTTTACAGTATGATCGATATCCTACACGCATTCGTAATGTTTATATTATTTGTACAGGTACTTGCGTTTTTTTACCTGTACATATATGTACACATACACACACACACACATATATATATATATATATATATATATATATATATATAAAATAATATACAAAGATATAATACACGCTCTGTCACACAGAATAGCAAACAGATTTTGAAAACGCGTGTAAATTTTCGAGGATGGGATGGAAAGGAATTAAGAAGCGAGAACAAGAGGAAGATCATTGACACTGAATCATTTTTTTGACTGTTCTGCGGCACAGGCTGAGAATGGGTTATGTACCTGATCACCTGCACCCACGTCCATGTCTTGCCTGTCCGTATGGACACCATCCGCGATATTTGGGGATTGTTGTTCGATCGCCACCAAAAGGTTCAACGTACGCCAATCGAATCCTGCCACGATATTCTTACGTTACACAGTCTTTACGTATTTTTCTTTGTGTGATCTTTTTTCCGAAAGATAATGAGCAGGATAACACGGATTAATCCGATCGATCGAGGCATGGAATCCAAGTCAACAAACATCTCTCAATATATGTACACAAACTTTTTTTTCATCTTTTTATCTCTCGAATATTTTACTAATATAATTACATAAAATATATATTATTAAATAATTATAAAATATTAAATACAAATAAGAAAGGCCTAAGAGCCATGCGCATACATTATACCAAAAATACTTTAGAATATTAATACATTTGTGACAAAAATCATAAGTGATGTTTGGCACTTGAATCTCTTGTGCCACGGTTCGATCGTGTATTTGTATTAACGTTTGATGAAAGAGAGCCGTATGAGAGACGAAATAAGGACGAGGGAGCTGGCTATATTCAGCCACAGAGCATGCATGTGTTACTGTTAAATAATAAATGTTGATTTTCTCGTGAGTGTAGGAGTTCTAATATTTCACGCGCAAACATATATAATTAATATCCAACAAAGTGTCAGAGGCAATCGAAAGAAGTGCCAGACGTGCATTATCGAAATTACACGGGTACACGCGTAATGTAAATTAGTAATTGTTATACCTTTCGAAGAATCGTCGTAGCCAATGTGCTTTACTGTGTCTCGAACGATCTTTTGATAATCCACTACAGCTTTCGACGTTATTTCCCCGCACAAAAGTATCATTCCAGTTTTCGTTACGGTTTCTGTAATAAATCAAAAATTTATTAACGCAATATTCTATATATATCTTCTTGTAATAGAATTATAATTATTGCAAAAATATATACAATATTATATTAAATATGTTACAATATTAAATATTAAGTATATTACACAATATATTACAATATTTCATTATTAGAGGATACTTTTAAAAAGGAGTATTATAAAATTAACATTAAGACAATATTTTGAACAATTATTTCCCTTTTTAAATAACTTTCAAAATCTTAACAATTTAATTATTTTACTTATTTCAATGATATAAATGCAAAGCGATAAATGCGACAGTCGTTAGTTTCAGCTTTAAACTAGTTCAGGGCCAAACAAACTAATTTATAAATAGATGCATTAATACAAATATATGTTCAAGGATTTGAAGAAATTAGCATTGTACAGTTGAACTTACCGCATGCTACTTTAGCATCGGGATCTTGCTTCAGGTGTGCATCCAAAATGGCATCGCTTATTTGATCGCACATTTTGTCTGAAATATATAACATAAAATATTATAAAACTATACGCTAATAGAATATATTCAGCAAATAATTAAATTATTGTTCCTAAATTATTATAACTTATTTTTAATTTTGCTACACAATCCCTTATTTAAATTTAAATTTTGCAGAAATAGATGACTCAGTACGAATAAAAATTACATAATTGAAAAAGGAATCATTAAAAAATTTAATATATGTAGCGCGAGATTTAGTAATGAATCTCGCGCTAATCTGAGATTAACCTAAATCGCTCACAAGACTCATGCCGAACTTTCTTTCTTTATCTTTGTTATAATTAGAGTTGTGATGTAGTAAGAATAAGAGAGTCGTATTAAGCGCAAAAGTAATTAGTAATATACGAGCATAAGAAATTATACCAAAAAATAAATAAAGATTATCGAAACATAATTAAATTGAAGTACAAGAAATATGAATTAGTTTTTAGCTGTTATAGATTAAATTAAGATAGTTGAAAGAATTTACAATTAAAATTAAATATAGAAAGTTTTTGTTAAATTGGGAAATAATGTTGCAATTTTTCTAAATTACTGATAAAATTTTCACAATAGACATTTCAAATTGTTATATTAAAAGCGAAGAGAATTATGAGAGCAATTATTACATATTTCTTGTAACATAAATATTCACATGTATGTATTAATTAAGTTTTTATATAAATAAAAGTAATTTCTACAAAATAAATAATAATGGAAAGAAAATGCTGTAACTTTGCATTTCAGCTTCACATGAAATTACATTTTTCATTTTTTATGCGAGTTGTAAGATTACCTTATCAAAGAGAAGTGTTTTTATTAATAATTTATTCGTTCGAACATTAATTGCAAGAATCTTTGGAATAATTTTCCTCAATTTTTGACGCATAATTAGAATGTTCCTTATATTACAAAAAAAACTAATGTAAATTGCTGAATTGTACATATAATATTTTTCGTTTTTAATACTAAATTATAACATTTTTATCAAAATTAAACAAAAAGAAAATGATTATTCTAGTGAGTATAAAAATACGAAAAATATATATAACATATTTCGCAATTATTTTTACATATATAAATATGTAAAATATATCTTAACATGTAAAAATATATCTTATTTATTATGTAAAATATATCTTATCTATTATTAATATATACATTCTCGGCAAAAGAAATCATAATTAATAGATGATTCATCAGACTTCTAGACTAGTCGAATTATTAAATTCAGCAAAAAATTTTTATCTTGTTTTAATAAGAAATCTCATAAAAGTAACAGGTGCTAAAAATCTCATCCAGATAATACAAGAATATTTTAATGCAATTACTGTTAAGTGTCTTTCGCATTTCCTGAAAAAAAAGAGATTTTTGGAGTTATTTCAGACATCTATATATCTATCTGAGTAAATTTGCTCTTAAAAAAAGAGAGAGAGAGAGAAGGAGAAGAAGTAAGCACAGTCGAACGAAAGACTTCGCGCCGGCTTTGGAGAGCTGATGAACGAAGCTAACATATACGGAGGACCGGCGTCTATTCGCGGCCGATTACGTTAACTCTAGAATCTGCGAGCGACTGGCGTCGATCGCGCTGCGATCGGAGCGAGCACATGGCGACAGACAGCGCGGTCTCCAACAATGTGCTCAGCCTCGCGCATCTCCGGTCTCCGGAGCGTGCGCGCGCGATTTTCGGCGGCGAGGGCCAAAAAAAAATGCTCGCGCGAATTATTGCGAATTATTACAGCACGGCGAGAAAAAAGATAGCGAGGCGGAAACTGTCACTCGACGACGAGTCCGCCTCGCTCGACTCTTCGCGCGCGCGCGACCGATAGCTTTTTCTAGAACATAACCCCGTGCGAATATACACCGCCGAGGACGATCAGGCGTTATTAGGCCTGGCAGGCGGGAAAGATGGAGAGGAATCAATCGAATAATCAGGTTTAGCGCTTCGAGAACCTCCAGAGAGTAGGAAGTTGATACAAAACTATATACACATCCGCGAAAGCGATCCTCTCTATGGCGGCATTACACGACACGGTGGTAGCATAGGGGTACAGAGAGAAAGAGAGGGAGAGACAGACAGAGTGAGTGAGAGAGAGAGAGAGGGAGGAAAGAAATCGAAAAAGCTTTGACCGATATAGGTGCACAGGGTCACTAACTCGCTGGGCCCCGGGAAGAGGGTTGGTCGCGGGCTGACCGCGCTCTCACCTGGGTGTCCCTCGCCAACCGACTCCGAGGTGAAGAGGAAAGTGGTGTCCTGCTGCAGCTCGGGCGGCGCGTGGCCATTCGCGTAACCGTTCATGTGATGCGCGGTCTCCGGCATTTTCCTGCGTTTCGGGGTTGTCGCCGCCGTTGTCGTCGTCGTGTCGTAGCCGATCCTCGCCGCTCAACAAAGAAAGATAGGAAGAATCCCCGTAGATATCGAGCAGACACAGACCGTCGAGCTTCTCTGGTCCTCCTCGTTTAGCCGCCTTCCACGGAGTACTTCTTCCCCACGTGCCTTCTCTCTTTCCTCTTTCGCACTTGGCGGATTTCACCGTTGTGGTTGGAGCGATACCCTGGGTAGTCGCTTCCTCACGGCGGGAGACTCGAGGATCCTCTCTTCTGTCTGTGTTTCAGGCGAGACGCGACGGCATGCGCGAGATGGAGAGCAAGATCGGGTCGAGCGAGCGAGCTCTACACAAGCACACGGCACACCGCGTAATGATCGGGAACGACGGGAACGGACGAACGCGCCACGGCGCGTAGCGGGAAGTGAAAGAGGCTCGCGCGCGTCGCGCACCGCTATTTATAATCTCGGCGCGCCTGTCTGCGCGATCAGCCGGTCCCGCGGTCACGTGACCGCCTGTCAAATCGGCGCGGAATTCGAGTCGCTCGTCGCCCGGCCTCCGGGTCCTCGTCCACGTGTCCTCTCTGAGTCTTGTTCCTTCTTCTGAAAGATACAATCGTGTTTTAGAATGTGCGCGAGAGAATTTCTTGCGAGATTATAATCAAATTTAGATGGACTTTCGCTCGAAATCATTTCTGCCCTGAGAAATTCAATTATCGTTCCGTTCGAGAATCGATTGATGCTGTGCGTCTACTTGAATAAATACGCACACATTAGCTTTCATTTGAATTTTTCATTTTTACGTGTATGAACATATATTAGAGGGAAAGTATTCCATATATTAGGAATATTCAATGATCTTAATATATGCAAATATTTGATCGTATTGTACAATTACATATTATAAATTAAAATATTACAATTAATTATAATAATCATGTAATTAAAAGATAATAATCATATAAATTAAATATAATAATCATGTAAATAATCGTCTAATTAAAATATTAGAAAGTTGAAATGTGTAAAAATGCGTATCATTCGCGTTGCAAAAAAGTAGTGCGTGATTTATTAGACTTTTTGCGCAAAATTGTAATTTGCAGAATTATACTTTATAATTTTATTGTAAGTATATTTTTTCAAATAAACAATTATGCAAATTATCTCTTATTATGTTTGCGTGTTTTAAATAGTAATTATATTAAGTATATGCACGAAAACTATCACAACACTTATTTCATACAAGTTTTCTCAGTGCTTTACACCAAAGAACAGAAAAGATTTATTACGCGTTTTTTATGGAAAATATTTTGTGATAACATTCGTCAATATTGTGTATCGATTGTCAATAATATTATTCATGATACTGGAATTTTCGCATTAGTTATTGTAATTTTCATTAGTTTGCGTAATGCTGCATCATTAAATAGCATGATAGATCATTAAAATTGTGTAGAAATTTTAATTCTTGTGACGATTTCATCTTTAAAGCTAAAAATTTAGATCAAATAATATTTTGTATTTATAATAAAAGAATAAAAATCGCAACGAATAAAATTTTAGGAATGTCAATAAAAATAACAGATGATATAAAAATCTCATAGGAAAATTTTTCGATTTTTTTGCTGTAAAATCCGACGTGTCATCAGATTATCCAATGTTATATCTAGTTAACTCAAATTTTTATAATCCTAATTTAGTTCTGCAAGCAGAGTAGATTTCAAATAATTTTGTTTAGTCATTAATTAAATAACTTTAGATTTAATTAAATTATGATTAATTCGTGGCTGTGAAAATTTTCAAGTTTTTCAAAATCAAAGTTGACGATAATCTGATAGCCTTAAAGTGACACGATGATAAATTTGTAACTTATCATAGTACATTTGTACTATCAATGTGACACTATGATCTTCACAAATCACAAATATATCATTTATAATTTGCTCAGTCATACTTTACATTTTAAACTTTTAACATTGCATCATGCTGAGCGATTTGTGAATTACGAAACAAAAGAAATGATTCGTATTTTTCTGTATCGTCTTGTGCTTTCAACACTACATGTGTATATAAGTACATGTATAATCGTTTGAACCATTTCACTCACATACAATTATCGGCTTGATAATGAAGCATATTTGGTACATTTAATGATAGAAATATAAATGGAAATCTCGATGTATCCGGTTTATGATCGATTCTTACCGATAACGCCAACAAGTGTTTATTAATCAGCTTGTAATTTTATTCTCGCGTGCCGATTTTCTGCTACTGTTGGGTTTTCTTCACAGAGATTTAAATCGCGGAAGAGACAAATCGAAATCACAAAAACTTGCGTACAATCGAGAGATGTTGTCACTTTTCGAAATTGCAATGTGAATGCGAGCAGACTGGTCATACTTTTATATATCGTTCGGTAGACCGAGGAGGTCTTGGAAGGGGGTGATAAATAATGTATACATATCAAGATATCGAAATGACACATCATTTTACAGCAAATTGATAGTTTGTAATTTTGTATATATGTTCTCTCTAAAAATGAGATATAATTGGACATTTGCTAAGGATGTGATTTTAGATTGAAATATTCGATGAAACAGAGTGTTTTAAAAATGTAAATAATTCAATCATCTTAAAGACAATTAAATCGAAAATTTTATAGAAATTAAAAGAATTAAAGAAGCAGAGGATACAAGATATATAATCTATGGAACTATGAAATTGTAAATTCATTTTTTGGATATGCATATAAAAATTTCCAGAGTAAAAAATTATGAAGAATATGAACTCGCAAAACTTCTAAACTAATAAATGTTTAATTCTTTTTTTGTCGCGTTATCATTTATTTAGCTATGACATATTTTATCGTCAAAAGAAAATGCGTTTTTCGACCCGATGATAATATGACATGAAATATATACGTAATATGATGTAATCAAGTCAAAATTGCCTATCTTACATATTACTTGTAAATGACTTGTCAAAATTGATGATTACTCTACATGTTACGTTTTATTAGCGTATAACATCAAATCATGTTAATGAAAATGAAATAATTAAGTTGACTTTAGTTAGTGATAGCGATTATCTGACACACTTGATTGAGACCATAATTAATTGCAAATAATGTCAACAAACTTTATTTAATAACTTGCTAATTGTATTAAAATATAGTTATATAACTAATATTTTATTGAATTAATTTTTGCGTGATGGAATTTTCTTTGTTAACGAATAAATTGCATAGAAGAAGCTACATTTTTACGAGGACTGATCTAGTAGCATCAATAAAGTGCTGATAAATTGGCATAATAATTTTAATACATTAGGTGTCGTATATCTGTTTTCCTTATTACTTTGCATATTATCTGTCATATTTAACATTTAGTTTTCTTCATTTGAAAGTATAATATGTTTTTATCTCAATAATTATATAATTATTTTTACTTTTTATACACTTTTTTATTGATAATTTCAAACTTTATACGTCAAAAACCAAGTATGATTGTATAATATTTTAACCGATTTCTTAAATAATAAATATTTTCAAGCGTTTGAATCAGTATATCTGTTTTCCTTATTATTTTGCATATTAGTTGTCATATTTAACATTTAGTTTTCTTCATTTGAAAGTATAATATATATTTTCTCTCAATAATTATTTAATCATTTACTTTTTATACACTTTTTTATTAATCATTTCAAACTTTATAAGTCAAAAGCCAAGTACGATTATATTTTAACCGATTTCTCAAATAATAAGTCTTTTCAAGCGTTTGAATCAGTTGATATTATAGTTGATTTGGGAAGAATTTTTTTTCAGATAACTTTGCTTAAATAATTAAAAAGCAAATACAGATTGACCCAAATCTATGTAAATTAATTCAAATGAGATTTGAATCTCACAACTATTACTTGCTCGATTATCAAATAGCTACAAAAATTTACTAGAGAAACAAAAAAGGACCGCTAGAAATAATGTGAAAAAATTAATAATAAACCGTGGTGTTGTAAAAATTACATTTATCGTAATATACCGTTGCATCTTAATGATTCTCGCAATAAATCTTTGAAGAAAAAATTTAAAGAGAAGAGCTTTTTGAGTTATTTGGATATTTGATGTACTACATTAAATAATTTTTGTGACATTTTTACGTTATATATCGTTTAAAAAATTTTAAGGAGACTAATTTCATTATATGATACCGAATATAATTAGTTATTAACAAATATTACAATAGAATAATGTTAGAAACAAACGATCAGAATCTTCATAATATATACTAAATAAGCATATGCTAGCATAATATATTAATGTTAAATAATATTAAATTAAAATTAAATAAACATGATGTAATGTGCACGATGTATCAGCAGAAACTGATAGCCAAATAATAATAAACCCTTGGTATAAAAGTTACACACGTGTAATAGATGTTGACATAGTTCATTTTAAATTCATATTAATTCATTATTTTAATATTATTGACATTTGAAAAATTAAATAAACATGATGCACGATGTATCAGCAGAAACTGATAGCCAAATAATAAACCCTTAGTATAGAAGTTATACACGTGTAATAGATGTTGACATTATAGTTCATTTTAAATTCATATTAATTCATTATTTTAATATTATTGATATTTGAAAATCTCAAAACGTCCTTATTTTTTAAATTTCAGGAAATATCTACCACATAGTATAAATGTATACGAAATGTATAAACATATGTTTTAATATGCATATGTAGATTTGAAAAATGTTAAAAATTAAATATTTCTCTCTCCTTTCCTATTAAATATTAATGATTGAGCAAAAGCAGGAAACAAGATATAAATAAAATGATAAGTGTATAGGAAACAGATCATGACGCATTTGATATGACATCAATAATCATTTGATATAGATTTAAATTATCTTAAAAATTATTTTCCTTAATTTCTTTAATATTTCTTTCTCTTTTTAATAATTATTTTTAATAATTATTTTAATAATTATCTTTATCGGAAACAAAAATTCTTAGTGCATTGAATTCCAATGTATACGTATGTTTTCTTTATCGCATATAAAAAAATTTTTTTTCTCCAATTTGCAAAATTAGAGCTTTTGAAGTAAGAAATCTGATATTTTTTTATCATGTGCAAATATACATTTCCTTTAACATATATATTCGAGATGGATTTAAAATTTGTTATTGTAAAACTGATTGTCATGGATTGATAAAGTTAAATCTTTCCTTTTAAATCGAGCCAATCTTTTGCTAGCATGACTATTCAATAACGATTATTAGGAAAATTCTGATAATTTAAAGATATCATTATATCACCTATTACTGCGAATTTCATGAACAAACTCTCATTTCATGAATAAAAACTTGCTGTTTGATGTTTTAATAAAAATCGCATTATATATATATATATATATATATATATATATATATATATATATATATATAATCTGATAACATTTTATACTGATAATCAAAAGTTGAAGCGCAACTTCCGGAGATAATCATCTGTGTTTACATTATTTTAAGAGATTATCCACCTTCGTCATTCAGGATCTAAAGTAGATCTTTTATCTCGCTCGAGATCATAAATTTCATTTATTTCGTGTTGACGTGCGCGGGAAAATTGCGCGTTTAGAAGTCTCTTGGAATTAGATCAATATCGTTCGCGAGTTCATTGAACCGGCACGCATACCGTTTGTATAAACCAATAGATGTGTCTAATAAGCATGATTTTCATCGTGTTCACATTACACTTGGATACATCAAAGACAAACAGCTGATAAAGCGATTCTTTGTACTCGTATCGTTGTTATAGAAGCACGGTCAAAATGAAAATATACACATATCGCTAAAATTTCATGTGCATATATACATGTATCGCGAGGCTAATCAAATTTCCGCTGACGTATACAAAAATATCAAATGGAGACTTTTAACTATTTATCTTAGCATGTGTTGTAAAGTAAAAAGGAAAAATAATCATATCTGTTATGATAAAGCGGAAAAAATATTTAACGCGTGAACTTTAACTTACTCCTTTCGATTTATCAGATTTATTTTCGAATTATGTATTATACTTTCGTAGGTATATCATCATTTAATTGCAACAATAAGATACATTTATGGAAGTAGTTCTGTTTAGACACAAGCTGTTCATACGCGTTTATTTATATGTGATTCTCTATGTTGTTAAAGCGATACATGACTTGGCTGCGTGCATGCTTGTGCTTTCGATGATTGATATTGATTCTTTTATTCTTGGTTCGCGAAAGACGTGTTAGTTATTAATAATATTGTTAATCTTTGCAAAAGAGAGTCAGTGAAACAGCGAGAACGGGGTGAAAAAATGCGCGCGATAAAGCCGCGCGTTTCTCATTAAACAAATAATATTGTTTCCTCAACTCGTGGTTAACTCTGCAGATCACTTGGCGAGTTAAAAGTGATCGATATGCAAAGTAAAAAATCTAAACACGCTTTATTGTTATCGACTTCATTCGCTCCAAAGATACGTTATTTTTATGATCAATAAAATACGCGTTTGTGTGAATATATTTACTGAAGATATCTTTGCGATCCCCCACTGTGAGTGAACTCGATCTTGACCTATCGATTGTCAGTGGTCGACACGAGATCTCGATACAATCTCTCGGCGATGAAAAATCTATATAGATATCATCGGCTTTCATGACTTTTATTACGATATTGGATACGATCGATATCTACTTTACAAATCATGTTTTCTAGTATCATTAATAAATATTTGTTCTTATAATCATATAATTTCCCCAAATTATATATAAATTATTATCTTATCTTATGTACACTTTTACGTAGTACACTTTTATATTATTTATATATTTGTATACACGCGAGATTTTATAGCAACGTCATCGGCGATGATCGAGCAATGGAATGTTGCAATAATTACATTACATCTGTAACAATTAATTTACATCGTTACATGGAAAAACGTCTGTTCTTATCTCTCTTATGAGCAACACGTGTGGATGATTTTCTCATACAAACTCGTTATACGATTCGTGTCAGCAAGGAATCACATTTCGTTTAGCTGAACAGTTTAACAGATAGACGCTAGACGCGAGTAACGTTATATAATTCGACTGACACACGTGGCTTTTATGTAATTCTTATTCTGCATGTCAGAATTTTTCTATATACATCTGAATAGAAGAGATTATATTAGAAGATATATATTGTGTAGATGCAGCAACGTAAAGAATAAAATTCCAAACATTTCTTTCATTTTTGTCCAAACATACACAAGTCGAACAATGGGCTTTGTTATTATGATTAACTCTTTTAACGATATTGATTTGAAAGTAAAATTATGTTTGCGTCAATATGAAGTGAGACATCTGTTTTTATCATTTATTCAATTTTTTGAATAAAGCTGCATAAAATATTAGCTTAATAAATTTGAATAATTTTTGTTATCCACGGATAAATATTTTTATCTCGTCATTTTCATATGAATTAATATTTTTATCTGAATAATGTATAACATTGTTAATAATGTATTGCGTATACTTTATGTTACGTATTATATTGCGCGGAAATATTTATATTTAAATTATCGAATGTTTAAAAAAATTTATCAGAATTATAAAGAAGTTTTTACAAAAAGTCCAAGATACACAGTGTGATTTACGTATGTAAAGCTGCTAATTTTCAAGATAGTCATATAAGAGCTCTGTTCTACCATTGTATACTAATGAATGTTGATAACGCTGATTCGTTATCTGCGGAATAGAATTTCGAGGAGATAAGCTGTGGAGAGTCTCTACGACTCCGGTGGTCACTAATTACGATCTTTCCTTTATAGAATAATCATGATTCATCATAATGCTAATCAAAAATATGATTGCTGAAAAAAATTCCTAACAAAAACGATACTAATAAAAATGTAACTGTAAATGTTGTTTTCCAATTATTGAATTCCTGCAATTTTATGCAATAATTAAGAATATATTCACGTTTTTCTCTCTCCCTTTCTTTCTCTTCTTTTTGCTGTTTGTTTCGCCATATATAAGATACGGAATAATTCGTATGTCCCACTTTAGATATGACTTTACTATATTTAAAACAGATTATACAGATTATATGGATTTAATTTATCTCTCTGAATCGCATTAAACTTATATAGGATCTTATATAAAAGGATGAACCGCCGTCTTTTTTTAGGCGCGAATGTCGAACACAGATTTCAAAGTGATCGATTTCTCGTATTTCGTGTTCTAATATTGCGTAAAAAATCACATCCATCTTGGCTCGATATTAATTATTGTCGATCGGCAGCTCTAGACATCTGTTTTGAAGATAATACTGCAAATTTGCGACGGTGACTTGAAGAAGGGAGAGAAAGAGGGTGGTGGGATTGGAGAAAAAAAGAGAGAAAAAGCGAAGAGAGGGAAGAACTCACTCGTTTTAACCTTGACCTCTGACAAATCCTCTTCTTCCATCAGAGCGCGCCCTCCCTGAGAAAGATTCCCTCTTTTCCCCTTTCTCTCGTTCTCTATCTCATCTAACTCGCAGATCCTCCAGTTTCAACTCCTTATATATGTGTCTTACCTACTTGGAAAAAAACGACGATCGATGCTTGACAAGAGGCGCACCGCTGCCGAAAATAGAAGTCTCCTAAATGTTAAAGCACGTTCTTCTCACCCTCGAAGCATCCTCGGCTAAGAATTCGGGTACTGCGCAGGAAGAATCTCCGACAGAGACCGAGAGATGCATCTTATTAATCCTTTGCCGGGATTATTCTGCTTGTCTCGTTCAAACCGGTTCAAATTTCCTCGTATTTCAGCGAGTCTCTAAAAAAATGACAAAATAATTTTTTGATCAATCAAGCTTTAAAAACGTTAATAAATGCGACATTATTTTTAATTGTTAAAATGTAAACATATTACATATGAACAGAATTTTAATTTGAATAATTATAATATTTTATGATCACTCTTTTGATGAAGTTATTGTAAAGAAAGGATTTATATCGCAAAATATTGGATTTTATTAATTTTGATTAATAAAGTTAAATGGTGAATATTTTTATCCCATTCGTGTTTATTACAAATCGATATTTTGTTTTCGAAAGACTTTCGTCTTTTCTGAGCTTTTTGACATCATTTGTTCCCTTGAAAAATCAATATCAAACAAGCTTTGCAATAACAGTAGCAATTTTTGCGATAATATTCATTTCACAATAGTGATTAGACATGTGTAACATTAAACATAATTTGACATTAAATGTTATCAACGAGACATTCAAGAAAGGCAAAATGAAATCGAAAGTTACACAGAATACATTTGCTGTTTTTGCCTCAAGATATCGTAGAAATATATATGTGCTAATGATGACACAATGTTTCGAGTTAATTATCTCATGCGCAATATTTTGTTGCAATATTTGTTAGTACATGCAAAATTTCACGCAAACATAATGTTTAATAAAATACAATAATATTTATAAAATTAGAGAATTTAGAGAGAATAATTAGAATAATAATGTGTGTGCATTTTTTGCACTCAAGAATTAATATTTAATCAATTTGCAAACATTAACAATATGACGATCAATCTTATTACTAGATAGATGTCCGTTCTCATATTGATTATATAACATACTTAAATATTTATAAACAATTCTGAACTTAATATAAAGTTTCCTTCAATAGTTTGCAATATTATATTTTGTGGTAAATATTATTCGAGTATTATTTCGACATGTTTGCCGTAATTGCAGATAAAAATAAATACATAAATCGCGATTTAAAATACATCTGCAAATATATCTTGTCAAGCAATGTATATTTTTTATTTTTAAGAACTCCGTCCGTCGTTAAATAATTTTAAATGCTCCGAAAAACTTATTCAAAAAAACGTCTGATGATAAAATAGGCGCTGTTAGTAGCAGTAGTCGAACTCCTGCTATGATCAGCCATAGTTTTTTTCATGTTCGTGATAATACAATACAATAGCTATCGTCATAATATCGTTCTTGGAGCAAATTTTGTAACTGTCGCAATCTCGCGGCAAGTTGTTTAAGCGACTTTACATGTGTAATATAGAAATACGACAGAAGATAACTGATACACACACTTGGTTTGATTCGTGGATGCTGCATAAATCAAGAATGAATCATCGAGAATCGTCCGCGGTTCGGCAAAAATAATTTGATTAAATAAGGGCTGATTAAATTATTAATTAATAAGAAAGGTAAACTTGAAAATAATCAATATTTCACGAAAAAATACTAAAAGAAGCAAAGAAGAATAAATTTAATTAATTAAATTTATAATCCCAACATATGTATTTTTATAATTCACATATAAGAAATATAGCATAACAATAAAACTAATTAATTATTTACTTATAATAATAATAATGTAATAACTTCAATTAGTTTTTATTTCTAATTTATAGACATTACCTTCAAATTTTATATTCATTTAAATTTAAATAATTTAATATCTAATTTTTTATTGTATTTTACGTTAAAGTTCAACTTTTTTTATATCTTTTTGTATCCTTTTTCAATAAATCCTGTATACGTAACAACAAATAATTCGACAAATATGCAAATGAAAATCTTAATCAGTTGCATATAAAATGGATTTTATATACATGTATTGTATATAAGATAATGGAATTTTAATTTATACTTTAGAAAACATTAATTAAGTTAAAATTAAGATTTTATTAAATCTTAATTAATGCATTATTTTTTAAAATATTATTTTATTATTAGAGTTATGTAACCATTTAATTGTAGTCACAAACATCTTGAATGTATACTTGTAAAAATATATATTAATGCATCCCGTAACTAGCGATGCATTTGAGATTCAGAATTTCAATGTATTCTCCTATTATTTTTTTGTATCTCTCAAAAATAAAAATTGTATTCCATTTTTTAAAATTTATATAGATATTTGTCTTCAATAGTAAACATTATTTTTAGTATAAAATTATACTACAAAAATTTGTAGGATATATGATGGCCTCGCTATTTGCGCGTGACTTAATACACGATCGTGAAATAGCTGCTGGATTGAGGGACAAAATATTAAATAATTTTATATGTAACTATAAACTATAATTATAACTATAAACTATTTTTTACATAATTTTTAAGAACATTAAAAAATCATATAAAACCTGAAATGGTAAAAAAGATAAGATATTTGCCTTCGTCGTGCTGTTTCCCATCATAAAGCAATCACGGTTTATTGTTTCCTGCAGAGGGGTGCAAAACGGACTAACCTTGTCTTTGATCAAGGTCCCGATTTCTGTACAGCATTTGAGTCTTCCTCGCAAGCTAAGTTGCGCGATGGGTCATTGGTTACCTCGATCTCGAACGGTGCAACACGCTTCCATTACTAAATAGTCAAGAGTGTTGCTTCTGCAACACTTGAAATTTCAATTTCGTCGTCGGTTCTATCACCCTAGAAAACAATGTGGAAATGGCTCTGTTGCATCCTGCTGCTGCAGTTATATTGGAGAGCGTCAAGTCAGCCCGTTAAAACTGCCCTAGATACTCCCTTTAATGATGAAATCTTTGCCGGTCTCCGTCATTGGGTGGAAGACTATTATGGTATGTATGCGTAATTTGCGATATAAAAGAAAGAGTTCATATTCTTAATATTCCGCTCTTTTTTAAGTTCCTTAAAAAAATACAAATTTTATTACTAAGTTTTTGTAGCCCGTCCTGAAATTTGCATTCATCAATGTTTATCTTGATATAAAATTAGATGCATCTTATTCAGCATTATTTCTAAGTAAAAATGTTCGAAATATTTAATATTTAATATGATTAACTTAATTTTATTATTAAAATAATTTGTGCAGATCCACAAAAATGTCAGATTTTCAAGTCGCGATATATAATCATAAAAGCAGAAGAAATGTAAATCTTGTATATATTCTCATATATTTGAATATGTCCTATTCTATTTTAATTTGGTACTATCGAAAAATAGATAATGCAACTTCGTGTATGTACAAAATTATATAAAAAATTGTGAGCTAAATTATAAAATTTATTTCTGAAAAGCTTCAGATTCTAATTCATTCGATAAATGTATGTTTATAATTTCATGTATATAGTTATAAAATCGTATGTCAAGTTATAAATTCATGTGCATAGTTATAAAATCAAGCTAGTTTATGAAATTTATTCAACTAAGATAATTTATTCATTTTTAATCATATCTCGACTGTAAATAATCGAGTTCGATGGATACGTTTATGAGTTTGTGTGCAATTTTAAATTATAAAGTCGTGAGCTAGTTATAAAAAAATTATATGCATTTAGTTCTGAGAATTTTTAGATTCTAAGTTAATTGTATTCGATGGATGTACATTTATGACTTCATATGCAAAATTATCAAATCGTGAAGTAGTTATAAAATTTATTCATTTCTGATAATTATCAAATCATGAAGTTATAAAATTTATTCATTTTTGATAGTTTCCTGATTCTCGGTCATATTCGACGGATATGTACATTTACGACTTCATGTGCAAGATTATAAAATCGTGAGCTATAAAATTTATTTATTTCTGATTAGTTTTCTTATTCTGATGCAAATTCAATTAGAGTACCGCTCAATATTATTTTTATTTTAATTTTATATTGAGTAGCTAAACGCGAAAAATTATATGAACATTTTGACATCTATAAAATATTTGTAATATAGATACATATTCAATCAATGAAAAAGCATTCAAATAAATTAATTGGTATTTGGTTTAAGGATACCATATGGTACTTTCAGTCAATATAAGTTTAATGAATTATATAAATATTTTATATATTTTAAAAATTACGTTAAATATATTTTTTTATTTATCGTAATTTATAAATAATTATTGATTGAATACGCCAACTTTGATAAAAAAATACATGCACATATACATCTTCTAACGTAGTTTAAAGGAAGTAATTTCTTTCCGGTGAGCAAACAAATGTAACTCGCGTCTTCGTGAAGCTTCTTCCTACTACTGTTCTGCATAATTCATTACCTTAGTCGATAATTCGGCGCACGTACTGAATTGCATTTAAAGAATCGTGCATTATATATAGTTCTTACTTTATCATTATTCAGCAATAGCAGATTTATTTGTTCTATAAATAATTATCGTGTTTCCCTACTTATGTGCATTATTGCCTATTTAGAGTGCAATATAAGCAATCTTTATTTTTTATTATCTCATTGTTTGCGCTATTATTAATCTTACAGACCCGATAGAAAAATTGTTGGGACCACCCCCAGGAACAACGTTCCCAGAAGTTCCTGAGAATGTGCCATTTCCTTGCAATGTTTCAAGTAAGATATTTATTAGCATCTTATCATTATTTTTCAACTTTTCCAACAATTATCCATAGTATCACTTGTTCAGAATTCTATCTTCATCTATTTTAGTCATTTTATTATTGCAATAAATATATTCTTTTGTCACAAATTATATTTTTATTAAAAATTTCACGTTTTTCCGAAAATTGGATGTCGCAAGATAATTTCTTCTTGCCTAATTATTGAAGCAGTTAAAAATTAGCAAACAATTTTATTTTTTTTTTATAATTGCAACATATCTTTATAAACTAATTTAAAAATAGATATTAATTAGCTCTCATGTGAAGAACAATGTAATTTTTTCGGGATAGAATTACGTGGATGGTAATGCGCGTGAGTTTCCTGGAAAATTTATTTTTGTTTAAATAAATAATTGTGCACGTAGCACAAATTTTACTTGATGCAATACCAAGTGTTTGTTATATAATATGAGATTCATCTTTAATATAAAGAAACCAGAAGAATTATCGAAAGTTATTAAAATTCTATTAAAATAAGATTCTCTCTCTTTCTTTCTTTCTTTCTTAAAATCTGAAAAATATGTTTCTTAATAGTTAATTATTTTAAAACTATAAATGTGTACGTGCGTATATCGATAATGTTTTCGAAAAAAATGTTAACTCGAAATTAATCAAATAAAACATGATATACTATTAAATACAATATAATGGTGAAAGATGGTATGTATTTTCTTTATGGAACGGGACATAATCGATGATAAATTTTAGTTGGTCGATCGAAGGAACCACCAACGAACGTGAACAAATTAAAACCGGGTGACATCCAACTAATTGGCACACTAGGTGATTCCCTTACATCTGGAGCCGCCGTTTTTGCTAGATGTTTCATAGCCCTTTTCGTGAGCAACAGAGGAGTTACCGCGGCTGGAGGAGGTCAAGGACATTGGAGAAAGTGGTTAACTGTTCCTAACATTATTAAGGTGAACTTTTAAGGCGATTAATATTCTTATATTAATACATAGTGATATTTTTCATTTGATATAGATTAAAATTTAAACATAAACATATGAATAAACTCTCCATTACTTTATATAATTCACTGATATAATTCTGAATTGCATTAAGATATGATAACAGTATAAAATAATAAACGCGTCATTAAATTAAATAAGAATGTAGAACAATTAATAGAAAGCTGTGCTGTAAGTAAAACATTTTTACTTTTTAATTCGCTTTTTTTACTCACTTTATTCTCATAGAAAATTTATAATCAAAATTAAGATTTCTGAGTTTTTCTGATTTTTTTCATAAACAATGTTTGGAAAAATTACAATGATGCTCTATTAAAATGATGTCACGTTCTGAGAACTAATGCCTTATTTAACAATGCAAATAAATCACACAAAAATGTTCTATATTTTAGGAATTCAATCCTAATGTAGTAGGATATGCAGTAGGAGATTCTTTGACAACTATGGAAGCATCGGAATTAAATGTTGCTGAAATTGGTTCCATGTCCGTAGACTTGCCTTATGACGCGCAGGTACTAGTCGAGAGAATTAAAAGTTACCCAATGGTGGGTACGACTTGGGACAAGGCTTGGAAGGTATGTTACTCGACTAATTAAATTTGTTACAAACGCGAACGATAAGTGTTATTATTTGTATGCTAAACATGCTTGCAATCTTATTTAAAATTTTGTTTTATCATTTGCAATTGCGATAATTGTAAATAGTTACAGGATTTTTATAAGAATTTTAATCTAAAGATCAATTTTTTCTTAACACATAAAAATGTAATGAAGGGCTTATATATATCGTCTCCCGTACATAGAGATAATTTTCTCTTAGCATTTACCCTGAAAATCATGATAATCATAGGACAATAAGTATGGTACTGAAAGAATTTTATAAATGTTTCTTTGATTAATATTCACCACAAAATATTAATATCCACCATAATAAGACATAAAATATGTTCAATTAATTTTACTATATTTATACATAGTAAAATTTAGTATGTACATATTAATATTTTTTATTGTGGTAAATATTAGTTAGAGAAACTCTTATAAAATTCTTCCAATATATTGTCTCACGATTACCATGATTTTCAGGGTAAATTTTAAGAGAGAAAGCTCTCTGTGTAATCTTGTAATTTTTACTTTCGTTAATATGCTACAATTATAAAGCATCACTTCGCCGTCAACAATTTTGCATTCCTAATTATGAAAAATATTTTATTCTGACGATTAGATTTTATTTACAGTTTGTCTCAATGAATATCGGAATCAACGATTTTTGTGCTAACATATGTTATGAACCAACAGCCGAAAAGGTTGTAGAAGATCATAAACAAAATGTAATTGAAACTTTACGAATACTTAAAAAAAATTTACCAAGAACTTTCGTGGCTATAATTGCGCCTATAAGTTCAGAAGTCTTGGTTGAAGCTCAAATAGGAAACCCGTCGTTCAACTGTTCTCTCACAATGAGTTTTGAGTGTCCTTGCATGTTTGGCTTTTCATTTAGACCCCATAGAAACTATTATTATGAGATAATAGAAAGGTGAGCTTACATAATTTTTATCAAATGCCAATAATTATTTTCTATATAACGCAACTTATCGTGGTTTTAAATGGCTTATACATTATTATTACGTAAAAATATTTCATATTATAATAAATTAATTCTACCCATATCATCGAGACATAAAAGTATTATTGGTATTATTATATTAAAAGCAAAATGTAGAGATTGAATAAAAATTGGGAAAAATATTTCAGATGGTCGCAAGCAGAAATTGAAATCTCTTTAATGCCAGAATGGCAGAGTGATGATTTCGCAGTCGTAGCTCAACCCATTCTTAGACATTCAATGTTGCCAAAAAATAAGGATGGAATTGTCCCTATACATGAATATTTAAGCATTGATTGTCTTCACTTTAGACAAAGAACTAATGCTTGGTGTAAGTTTATTTTTCTCTAAAGAAATATAACATAAATAACTTTCTTTAATTTTCAAGTTTAAACAATTTTTATTTTACCTAATCTTCTGTATTTAAAATTGTTTAATTTTTTTATTGAATGTTAATAATGATTAGCACGCAATGTTGCAATAATTTTAAAAAATGCAATAATATAATTATTATGATTACAAGTATTACAAGTCGTTTATCTTACTTCATCAAATCATAATTGTCATATTAGTACAGAATTGTCGAAAATTATCATTAAATAAATATCAACTCAAACACATATAATAATCATCAATTTAAACAAAATTTTAATTTAATATTGAAAAATTAAATGTATTAAAAAATATTTTGTTTCAATTTTTGCAGATGCAAATGGTCTATGGAACAATTTGTTGCAACCAGTGGGTAACAAATCGGAAACTTGGGAACCACCTTTCCAAACATTCTTATGTCCAACAGAAGAAAGACCCTATCTGGCTACAAATGTAAATTCAGGAGTGTATGGTTAAATATAATATATAAATAGACTGAGCATATTTTCTATCTTCGCAATGCTTCGATATAAGAATTAAGTGAAAAAGAAGAGAAAACATTATTTAGCAATGCTTTTTTCTATTATTCGCGCTTTTATGCATGTGTGCATGCGTATGCATTTCGTGTTAGCATACATTCGCATTCAGGTGTCTACTACTTTCTTTCATTAGAAAAAGACGGAGCCTTTAGTTATGTTTTCCCTTTCTTCCTACTTATTTTTAAAGTTGCATTATTATTGCTCGGTCTATTTATTTAATATATAGAGTTCAATTGATAAAAAAAAGGCAAATTCTCTAACAAAATTAATTATTAATCGTGTATAAGAAATATTGATACTTGACAAAGGAGAAAGTATTAATCGTTTGGTCATAAATCAAGCAGTTGTAATATGATGCCGTGATTTTTTTTAATGTAGTCACAATGGCATAATTATTTAAGTATAGTCAGAGCGCTATGATTATTTATCCTTTATAGAGCAAATATATATGAATGGAAAATTGTTCCATGCAAAATTATTCCAATTATTATTATTACGTGACGCTATAAAGGATTACACAACGTTAAGTTGCACATATAATTGTATTATGTTTATTATTTTCTTTAGATTTAAATGTACGTTCTATTTAGTGCAATTCATGTATTTACGATTGCAAACTGCAGAATCAGAGCATGTGAATCAGAGATTGAAACTGATGTTTTTTGATTTTATATAACAGCAATAAAAAAGATTCAACTGATATAAATATCGGTATTTGCAATAGGCATTAATATTATATTATTATATCAGTAAGTGCATTAATAACACATGAAATTGATTTCTTGTAATCACAAATGAGCTTATAATTTTTTCTGTAAATATAAAAAAATAATACAATTATATTCAGTTATGGATAAATTTATATGTACCTCTTATTTCGATTCTTTTGAAATATATAGCATAAATATTAATCAATTTGTTAATCAATCAATCAGTTATTCAATTTGGTAATAAAAACATTCAAGAATATAATAATATAGTAATATCGCTCTACAGTAATGATATTACCGAAAAGTGTTATGTATATACCGAGAAATTATGCATATATTATAAAAATTTTGACTTTTGACGTCTATCGATATTTGACGTCTAATATATGATTGAAATTTGTTTTCTTTGCCATCTTAATAAAGATAAATACGATACCGATATACAATTGATAAAGAAGTTATTTCGGTATTCAATCCTCGATGTCAACAAATTTAACATGTTAATTAATGTAATTTCAGAGAAGCTATTCTATATAAAAGAGAATTTGTCAATAAATATTCAAACAAGTATAATGTGTTTACGTATATTAATAAGGAAGATGATTTATCGTAACATCGGCTGTCTAATGTCTCGTTGCTCACGTAGTATATGCTTTTAACTACTACCGCCTAGGATTACGAAAGAATGCAGGGGAATCGTCAATATGTTCAAAGGTGGGGGTCACATCGATGGGTACGAGAACGTCTTTCTTCGACCCGCTTCATTCATGTTTTGTGGTGTCATCCGGTAATACCGTTGAAGAAAATCGGCTTTCTTCGCATAACCGATACGCAAATCGCGAAGTTTCTCGACGTTCTCGCGAAATAACTATATATAATTTATTAACATTATAATTTTACGCGAGAGTTTGGTGTTTAGATAATTGTTTGAGAATTTGTCCCAAAAACGATAACGATTTTTACGGCAAAAGAAAGGAGACTTTTTTCCCGTCACACAGTTTTTGCAGACTTGAAGGTGTTGTCATGAAAAATATTCACGAAATTTGGTAGAGCTAATCTTAAATATGTAGAGGTTGATTTACATACAGTGAAAAAAAAACATCTAATTGTAATGAAACATTTCTAAATTTTTAATAACAAGCTTCTTGATGTTTAAACAATCCCTCAATTGTAACGATGCGGAACAGATCACCGAATAGCAAGGTACATATATATATTTGTAACCGCTGAGAATCATTAAATTTTCATACTAGACTAAATTTATATACAAAATACAAAATTGGCAAAAAAAATTAATTAAATTTGATAGTATATATTTTTTAATTTAATCTATGAAAAAATATTCGTTAAGGTGTTATTATTATTAGATATGTATATGTATAATATTTCTTCTTTATGTTGACGCGCGCGTTAAAAAGCTCTTCATATATTCACGTTAATGTGTTTGTGTATATGCTTCGATATTCTGACAACGTCGTTTCTACTTTTTCGCATCACAAACGACAAATTGCATTTTCTAAAGATATGAAAAGTGATTTATGAAAATGCCCAACGGGGCTGGTACGCGAACTTGCACAGCGAAAGCGCATCTTTCGTCTTTTAAAAGATCTAAAGTGATACTTTCGAAGCCTTTGTCGACTCTATCGTTTTTTATTTTCTTGCAAAATTATGCGAAAACACCGTTCGTTGTTCCGCTCATTTGCATTCCTGAGAAATTAAGCAAAACCGCAGGCTTCTTATGAGAACAGGAATCATTGTATCGTTATATAATTAGAGACGTAATTTGAGAAATGAAGCAATCTAAAATATAATATACGTCTAATGTATTTTTAACCAAAAGCAAAGACACTCTCTAGGGCCAAACTTGATATAATCTGAATCCCTGAAAGACATTCACTTTCTCTTGATCATAGATATCGAAGCTAACGGAGTTTAAAAGACTAACAATTATATGTGTTCAATGTTGGGTTTCAAGCGAAGAGAAAAAATTCCTTGTATATTTTTTACGAATCTAATTGTATTTTTTTTTTAATTTGCGAACTGTGTATGTATGTAAATTCTGTGACACACCCAATTCCTAGACTTATTCCAGTCGACCTTAACATCAATACGAGTAACATGACAGAAGAAAGACTCAAATTCTGTTTCCTCATTCTTCAAAATTTATACTAAAATTAAGAGATTGAACAAATTTCGAAAAAAAACGATTAAAGATTTTTTTTGCCTGCACTTCAAAATTTAATCAGAAATGTTTAACGTCAGTTTTGCTGTACATTTTTATTTGGAATACAAATATAGGATTTATAATTGCATTTATAACACAATATTTTAAGAAAAATTGGGGAATGTTAGTTTTGCATCTTTACTTGAATGAAGAGATTGGTTAGAAACTTATCCATTACTCGAAAGATGAGAGAGAGAGATTAACTAAACAATTCTACATATCGCGATAGGTATCCGTCGTTAAACAAACGGGAATCTGGCCATGGCTTTATTGAAATGATTCTCCCGCTTTATGCATGCGCAAATAACGGCTCGTACATACATACGTCAAAGTTTGCAGTTCTCTCCAGTCGAAAACTCGAAAGACTTGTTGAAGACGTACGCTTCTTAAGATTGAAGGCCACGAATCGATGGCGACCGGAAGTCTCGTTCGACCGAGTCGGAAGCCCAACAAGATCTTTCAACATGAAATGATTAGTTGAAGAATAAAAAAGCTTGAAGAAAATCATAAAGAAATTTCTTCAGTAATCAATTCTCGAAACGCTCGTTGATAACTCTCGACAGAAGAGTCATGAGAGTTCAAGTAATTTACTTATATCTGGCCATCGTTGGCTTTCATCCGTGCAGTTGCGTGTCCTTTATGGATTTCTTGTACAGAATAATTCAAGCAGGCAAGGTAAGTTTTTGGTATTAAGACCGCAAAGTATATCAATTAAATTTCATATTGTATTCAAATCGTATTAAAATATTTGTCTCTTTTTGTAAAATTATTTTATGAATGTAATAATTCGAGATTCGAGAAATTTTTGTATTTAATTTTAGATTTGCCAAAACTACAACTTCAAATTTAAATTTAATTATTTAATTATTTAATTAAATAAAAAACGTATAAATAAATTTAATAAATTGGATTAAATAAATAACGTTGTGAATTAAACCAAGGCAAACGTACTTAAATTATTTATATAGAATATAAAGGTGCATAAAGCAAAAAGTCATCAAGCAAAGCTATACAAAAAAGAAACTTGTCCCATTAATGTTAATTTTTGCAATTTAAGTTGTAACCGCAATATAACTGTTGAAGATAAAAAAGTGAGAGTCACCAAGCTTGTAATTGTTCACAAATTCAATAGTTTAACTGACAAGTAGACTTACAAGAAATGTTGTTGCCAGGATTGCCGAAAATGTTTTAGTATGCAGAAGATCATTCTACGTTCGTACCAAACGAGAAATCGCGCGTGATTTGCGAGTTAAAACCAGATCTTCTTTTATCCGGACGATATTTGTAATTTCTTTTTAGATTTACAACAAAATTTAAATATGACATTATCTGTTAAACAGCTTTTTCTTTTTCTCTTTATCGTTGATATTTTAATGTAAAATAATAAAAAAAAGCAATATAAAACACATAAAATAAATTACTAACGCGCTTTCTTTAGTCTAATTTATAATCCAATTTATAATGTACAATATTTTTGCTACTACAATATTATTATTATTAAAATGGATAAAAAATTATTTATGACATTAAAGATTGAATCTTTATTTTTTAATAGTAAAAACCGGAAGTTGTCGCAATTCAAAAAAGAGAATGCTTTGCATTCCACGCGATGGGAGAAAGGCCGAAACATTTCTTTTTATCTACTTTGACTTGCAAGCCTTGTGCCATATTAAAAATGTTCAGAATCGTTTCAATATACTTCATTTTTTATAAACTATATAATCATAAATCTTAATATATATAATATTTTCTAAATTATTTTTTTAAATTTCTTGCGATAGTTTTTTCTCAAAGTTTTACCGTCACATTATATATGCTTTTTATAAAAAATCCACATAAATTAGACATTTAAAATTCGTAAAGATGTAAAATTTAAAATGTAAAGTTTAATTTGTAATACACTGAAAAAAAGAGTTTCATTGTTTTTCGACGAAACAGAGAATTACTGATTAAATCGACCAGAATTCCTTATAATGCAACACGAATCTTGGTTAGCACAAACAACTAATTTCTTGTGCAACCAGATTCTTGTTACATTATAAGGAATTCTGGTCGATTTAACCAGCAATTCTCTGTTTCGTCAAAAAAACAACCAAACTCCTTTTTCAGTATATAGTAATAAATATTCCGAATTAATCAATTATTATTTTTAAAAGATGGATAAAATATGTACATTATGGTATTTTAATAAAATATATGCAAATAATAAACAAATATTTAGCAGTCTAATAATATTCCTTTCGAAAGTTCGACAAATGTAGTCAAGACACACCTAGATATGACATACCTATTTCGAGAGTATATGACTGACAAATTATTTATATGTACCAATATTTAAGTCGCTACGCGACGCAATGCACGTTGGAATGCAAATCGAAGAAAGCAAGAGTGTAGACGTGTGACGAATGTTAAGCACGCTAATCGACACCGGCTTAAATGCGCTGACAGAAAAGAACCGCAAGTGAAAAGTCTCGTTCTACTTCGGAGATACATTTGCACAATTGATTGCAGAAATTATTCTTACGTATATTAGCCGGACAAATTTATTATATTTAATGTAACGTTATATCATCAAAAATGCTTTTAATAAGAATTTTTCCGCGATCGTGCAGTATTTTTAATTTTCGAGACGATTTAGTTTCTGAGAAAATTTCATAAAAGAACTTCAATTATTCACTTACATGAATGATAATGGTGCGGTTACATAAAAACATCTCTTTATCGAGACTTTTTCTTGTATATTTGCAGGTGTTGTTATCTCGTTGAATTTATATGTATTTTTTTAAATTAAAATATAATGAATAATTTTAATAATTAATATTATTTTAACAAAATAAATAAAAAAATATATTCTGATAAAATCCTATATTGTTGCTCGAATTGAAATTATCATTACTGTTGTAGTTAATGAAATTGGGTAATCATATATCTTGAAAGTTGCGCAAACTCAAATACTCAAACGAGTGTTTGACGATGTCACTTGAATGAAGATACGAATCTCGTGTAATTGGATATTGTAGTTGGACAATCAGAGAGTGGCATCAAAGCGACGTCATATCTCATCACAGGAGAAATTACTTTCTTACACAATTATGCAAATCTTATGTAAAAGAATAATAACGATAATTACGCAAACTCGTATTATAATCATTTTGTTTTAAAATAATTTTACATCATCAGAGTTATTGTAATTTAAGCGCGCACAAGTATTGTTAGATACACCGAATACGATAAAACTTAAATGCACATTTTTTGCATGTGCATAAAATAAACAGAATTAGGTGCGTATGATTCATTCAATTCAATTTTCAGAAAAAAATCGATGCAGATGGATTTCCGAGTTATGTGATACAGAGTGGCGTACGAAGGCAACCGATAATCCCTGACAACTTTTCGTTTCCTTGCACCGTGCGTTCTGGCAGGTATAACTTCATTTAATTATTATTTTATATGAAATACCAAACCAGAGGTACAATTGTCTCCTCGGCGATTACGAGGTGGAGCATTTTTATTAAACAGGTACTTGCTCGTATTTTGATTATTTCGGAGCTGACCATAGTCATTTGTATAATATCATTTTCTTAATGACAATAAATATGACTTATGTATCAGCAGACAATCACGTGTAGTGCTAGGTACGCGAGGTAAAAAAAATTGATAAGTATATTTGAACAACTCACCCTTTTCTCTTATTCCTCGCCCAGGTCCTTGACGATACCAGACAACGTTCATCGATTGAGACCGGGCGACATCGATGTGATCGGTGGTCTTGGTGATTCCTTAGTCGCCGGAAACGGCGCCATGGAAGAGTTCGCTGTAGGAACCTTCATCGAGGCACGTGGAGTCAGCTGGTGCGCCGGAGGTCAAGGTGATTGGAGGCACTTCCTCACGCTTCCTAATGTTTTGAAGGTATGACGTGTGAAAGACTTCTTTGAGATCTTGATATTCATGTTTGTCGATCTTCCAAAGATATCACGCGCATATAAAGCGAGTGAAAAATTAGGAATTAATGTTCATTCTCTTCAATCCAGCTGTCCGTTCGATTCCATCTGTAATTAAAGAAAAACAAATTTTTTTTATTATTATTGCAATAACAGTTATTCAATCCGAAATTAACCGGATACTCCACGGATACGGGTGAGTTTCATTCAACCACGGCGAAATTGAACATCGCCTTCCCAGTTGCTGCTACGGAGGATGTGTTGCAGCAAGCGAGAATCTTGGTGCAGAGGATTAAGAACGATCCGAAAATAAATGTAAAGAAACATTGGAAGGTAATAATTCTCGTGCGTCTTGCAATTTTTTATTGCGACGCGAGGTAAAAAAAATTATAACCACTATTATAATTTTTAGTTAAATCTAAAAAAAAATTTTTCTTTTATCTTTCAGCTTATAACGATTCTCTTTGGAGCTAACGATATTTGTTCGGCACAATGTTACGGTCCGGAACAGTTCTCGCCAATGCGTTATGCCCTGCATTTACGAAGAGCGCTTGATTTTTTAAGGATTGCGCTTCCTCGAACGCTAGTCAATCTGATTCCACCCATAGGTGATAATTTAATAAAAATTTAATGAGTAGATTAGTTAGATAAAATCTAATTAGTAATCAATGTAAATGAGAGCGGGCTAATAAGAGGCAAATGGTTCCGGAAGTCAATTGCATTTCCGCGCTTTGGCTCTTATTAGTTCATTCTCATTTGCGTTGATTATATATATAACAAAGCCATTTTCCAATTTTTGTTAATTAGTAATTTTAGAAAAAAGTTAATAAATTTAATTAGTAATTTTTTATATACTATAACGTAAACAAAAAGATATTATTGTTGCAATATGTATTTCTGGCCTTTCTTTCAACTAAAAATAAGATCTAAAAATGAGATCTATATAACAAAAATTATAGTGCATATTAATTATATATAATAATATACTTTTTTTTTGCAAAAACTTTATTTTATCGTATGTACTTATATCTGTCCGTATTATTTTTTGACAGATGTTACGGTCTCCATTAGAGTAAAACAAAGTCTCTCGTGCAAAATATTGCATCCCCTTTATTGCGCTTGTATGCATGAGGGTAATCAGCCGGAAATTGACGCGTCGCACATGTCACGGCTTTATCAGCAAGCCATCGAAACTTTAGTATACTCAGGAAGGTAAGTCTTTAATATTTTCAACAGATAATTAAATATTTTGCTTAATTAACAAACTATTAATTTTTAATCTTTTTTTTCTCAAAGTCTAGTATTATTTGAAAGGAACTTTTTTATTATATTCGATATATGTGTGCTGAGAAAGTTGTTTGGTGCATTAAATTCATAACTTATTTACACACAAAATGATAGTGACTATATTTGTTGTTTTTCTTTATAGATACGATAAATTTCCGGATTTCACGGTAGTATTACAGCCATTTACTAAATTATTCAATGCACCTAATGCAGATCCTATTCATGCACCGCCGATCGATTCTACTCTGGTCACATACGATTGTTTCCACTTCAGTCAGAAAGGACATGCGCTCGGTAAGAGATATAGTTATATTAATAATAAAAAAAATATGTATTAATACTTTTACTGTTCTACTCTTTTGTTGTTTCAAGCAAATATATTTTTATTCAAGATTCAAAATTGTTGTTCAAAATGTAATAATGTGCTATTTACTGTCAACGATTGAGTTGCGCCTAACAACATCAAAAAGAACACTGAAGTGTTAAAACGGTTACATTTCATTAGGCGACAACACACACACAACCAAAGAGAATCAGCGTGTTACAATAAATAATGAATGAAATTAGAGAATCGCAATAAAAAAAACAATATAAAATTTTTTTACGCAATAATATTGATGTAGATTTAATCAAAAAGTTATTATTATTTTATTAATTTATACAATTCATTTTACTTAAAAATACTTGTAAGTATTGCTAATAGCACCATAATTTTTTATTTTACATATATATACCATATAATTTAATTTTTTTTTAATTTTATGCAAATTAAATGCAAATTGCAGATAATATATCGATTAATTGCAATAAAGTTTTATAAGTTAATTTTAACCATATTAAAAATAAGTTACCCTTACATAATTATGTTAATTGTATTTTTGAAGAATTCCGATATTGATGACCATTTGCGTAAATAATGCACGTTCAACTTGAAAATTAATTTAATATTCCGTACCGCACAAGTGCAACATACATATATACAAAATTATGATTAATTATGTCAGAGACACGTAATAAGCGTGCAATATTCATAACTGTAAATTTGCATTTATATTCCGTTATTATAATGCAAAATAATAAGGACAGCACTCAGGAATTAATAAAGACCCGCGGATTAATAAAGGTCTCTCGCACGAAGATCGATCAGTTAATGATTATATTTGCTGATATACGTGGTTAAAAATCAATAGATCATTTGAACAACGCTTTCATGGGCAATAAAATGATCATCTGTCCCTTGCAGCTGGCCTGTTATAAACGCGAGCGCGTGTTTGTCAGTGGCGTGTGAACGATTTAAGAGAAATCATTAAGTATCTTTTAGATGATGTCAATGAGAGTCATGGTGAAAGAAAACGTCACGTCAGTCTATCGTTGAAATTATTCGCATTGTTACTTTTACGTGGAAATAGCGAAGTAATATTTTCGTTTCTTTTAAGTACGCGCTTCCTTCTTGTTTTCAGGTGCCAATCTTTTGTGGAACAATATGTTGGAACCAGTCGGAAACAAGACGGACAGCGGAATACCGAAGATATTGGAGAGAGTACTCTGTCCTACAGAGAATGCACCCTATTTCTTCACGAACGTTAATTCGCGCTTTTTCCAACTGACCGGTAGACAAGATGAAATTACACCTAGATAGCGTAAGTTTCGGCAGATCGACCATAATTTACGAAAATATTTATGCGATGCATAATAAGATGCCGAAAAAATTAGATATAAAAATAAAATAATAATGCATCTGTTATCGATATATTATTTGCATAAAATTTTTAGACTTAAAAAACGTAAATGAGATATTATCTAATAAAAATAGTTTTAGTATAAAATTAAACACCCCTGTTTATATATTAGTATAATTAGTGTTGAACTAATTGTTTTTACTCACTCCCTATATAATTATTATTATATGTGATTTGCAATATCTTCATTATTTCTCATACATATTTGAGAAGAACGTAATCGTCTACAATGTGATAACATTTTCAGAGATAGGAAATATATTAGATAACATATATAATTTGACAAAAATGTATTAAGTAATCAAATAACATAAATAAAATATTTTGAAATTTTTCAGATAAATTCAAACAAATGTTTTAATGTGTAATAAATTCATTATAAATAAAAAATTATTTTATTCGTTTTTTTTATTCATTACTAATATATCATTTATATTATATTCACATTAGTTATACAATATGCTAATTTACTAAAATTTTTAAATTTATTACTTTATAATTTATATAATTTTTCATTAGAAAAAAACTTAAATAAAAAAATAAATTATGTATGCATATGTATGTGCATTGAATAAGAATAATGCTAAATTTATTTGCAACTGCGATATCTCTAAAGTTTCAATGATAGCATTTATATGTGCGCGTAAGAAATTCGCATATCTTGACAGAGGAAAAAGAACGAGAAATGGAAAAAAGTGCATTTTAAACAGAACACTTATATTACCGAAGTTTATAAATAACCCATTTAAAATTTCAAACGGAATGCCTATTATGGCGAAAGGCAGAATATATTTTACAGAATATCCGGTTAACAAAGAACGAAGAATATGTATGGAATTTTTTTATACATATATATATATAGACACACACATACACACACATGCATATATATATGATGTGTCATATGTATATATAATGTGTCAGAAAGTCTTTCAATTTACATATGCGTTCGAAGGATTTCCCTGAATTTGGTAATATGTTCCCACATTTCTGTGACAAAAATGTCGCTAAAATAGGCAAATAGCAGATGCAAGACTTAACGATTGCAATTAATTCTAATATATATTTATAAAATCCTACAATTAAAATTAAACTAATAAATAAACTTTTTTATAGAGAAAATAATATCAAAAAATTTTGCGTCAAATATATTATTTTTATTTCTTAAAATATGATTATTGTTTCTATTTGACAATCATCTCGCGTGAACCGAAAAGTTCCAAAGCATCACCGAAAATCGAATATTTTTCAGAAGCCACGAGTTTATTACGTTTCTTTATTTCATGCCATGTTTTAACTTCGTAATTCAATATTGAGATAAAAAAACTGTTTACACCGCCAACCAATTAAATACGTCTTTCAATCTATTTAAAATTTAAATTGACCCTAATCGATTCGAAGTATCCGCATTGCCGAATCGCAGTTATAAATTGCGCGGAAGTTTTACTCGATCAAACTTTGAACTTTCTCACACACATCATCCTCGTAAGAAAAATGTTAGACTCTGAAAGCTGCTTAAAAATACAAATTAACGAGCGGTTTTACCTGGTCGACGCTATGCGTTAATCAAGGAAGGAGAACGAGTATGTCAAGGTCTTAATGATCTTTTAAGAACTTGACCGTGACTCGGAAATGCTGCAAGCAGTTAGGCAAAAATCAACTTGTCGCTTAGTGTGCAATTTCCTTACGAAACATTCACGGTCATTCACCTGCGCATTCCAATCTAGATAGAATTTCCTTCTCGCACGTTTCTCTCAATTCAATTAATTTTTTACTTATTTGTAAATTCGAATGCATATAAACAACCTGTATAAATCCTCTTATTACGCAACTCACATTCTTATGTTTGCCTTAAATCTGATAATATATTATCTTATTGATTAATTACAGAAATATGTGTGGTTAATTTTCTTATGGAGTGGAAACGTAGATAACGATAAGCCGTACACAAGAATGTAGTAATACGAATAGAGCAAGGCCTTCTATATTACGTTACGTAAATCCTTTTTCAAAGTTCATAAATTTATTATTACTGCGCATAAGGAATGTAGAGTAATAATTATTATTATTATATAACGTGTTAACGTGATATACGTAAGAAATCATTTTTAATTTATTCTTCAATTTTACATATTATGTATGCAGACGGCTTTATAAAGCTAGATTGTTGGATTTAGCATAAACTTTTTTCCCCAAGTGGAATTGCGATTTTTTTCTAATAAAAAATGTAATTAAAAAAAAAAGACGTCTACGTGGCTAACTTTTTTCCTAATAAAAAATTTATTAAAGTTGACGAATAAGAAATCTCAAGATTTACGATTCAATTACATTAGAATTAACTTGTAGGAACAGCATGGAATTATTCGCGTTGTGTAATATGTAAATTGCGTGTTTATCTCGAAATTTCCCACAAAGATCTCGCATCCGTTAGATGAATCATTAGACAACAGTGTTAAAAAATTTCGCCAAGAATGTTTGTGCCAGATTTTACCGTAAGTAGCGTGCATTGCGGCAAAGCGTTAATATAAGTGGATATAATCTCGGCCCGATCTCTTCGTGATCGTCCGGAAGAACTGCTCCTGCGGCGATTAGTGGGAGAAATCTTTGTGAGAGGAACGAGAGAGAGAAGTCGGACTGGCGCTTAAAGAAAGCACACATCGCCGAGTTCTTTCTCCAGGATTTTTATTTACATTTGTGCAAACGTCTTTTCTCGCTTTACAAACACACATGTTAACAAATTTACCGTTATTCTATCTGTAATAAATATCTCTTCATTCAACATCTCCTCATTCAAGATGATCAATGTCTGATCCTTTGATTTAAGCTAATCATTATATGAAGTTTTCAATTAGAGTCTAAGCAGATTCTAACGTTTTCTGCAAGAGATATAAGAGATTTTTTGGACATTTAATATATATAACGTATAAGACGGGCAACAAGAGCCAAATCGCGGATGACAATGCGTTATCCTAACGAAACTAAATAATTTTTCGTTAGAATTAAATACCGGTGCACAAGGCACCACAAATTTTTACTTGGACACGGCCAAGATTTTAAATATGAAATAATCTCATATTTTGAGATTTAATTTCAATACCCCTTTAACCCCCCTACGGAAAATAAATAAATGAATGCAAGAGAAAAATATAGATCCGAAAATCGCTGAATCGGGAATCGAACCCGAGACCTTTCGCTTGCCGGGCAACTGCTCTTCCAGCTGAGCAAATTTTTTTTTATATTTATATTACAGAGCCTTGTTAAAACTCTTATATTTGATACACGCTGGCTTAAAAAATGCGTTTGTTTACCAACATTAATATATATAACAGAGAAAAGTATAGAATCGAAAGGATCTGAATAGCTCAGCTGGAAGAGCAGTCGCCCGGCAAGCGAAAGGTCTCGGGTTCGATTCCCGATTCAGCGATTTTCGGATCTATATTTTTCTCTTGCATTCATTTATTTATTTTCCGTAGGGGGGTTAAAGGGGTATTGAAATTAAATCTCAAAATATGAGATTATTTCATATTTAAAATCTTGGCCGTGTCCAAGTAAAAATTTGGTGCCTTGTGCACCGGTATTTAATTCTAACGAAAAATTATTTAGTTTCGTTAGGATAACGCATTGTCATCCGCGATTTGGCTCTTGTTGCCCGTCTTATACGTTAAATTTATATTTATATTACAGAGCCTTGTTAAAACTCTTATATTTAATATATAATTTATTTAATATTGCTCAAGTGCAATAGAGCTGAAGATAATATAATTTGTATTTATTTGTTTAAAGTTGTATGTCAAGTTAAAGAAATTGAAAAATAAACAGAAAATAGCAATATACCTTATTTTGCCTTTTCTTACCCTCCTCGCTTTCTTTCTTTCAATTATATATCAAAGACGGTAGAAGTAAATATTAAAGGAAAATCAAAGATTGCAATTCAACGACCTATTCTAGCATAAATTTTTTATTATTAATTCAAGACGACGTTTCGACCATCTGTTTGTGGTCCTTATCAAATATACAGTCTTTGGTGGTCAATATAATTCTCAGCATTATGAACGCAAATCAAACATATTGAAATGCAACATATTCTAAGCACTGAGTATAAAGTAAAAAATTAAAAAGAAAAACCGCCATGAAAATGGATATTGATCGTTAAATTGCAACTTTTGATTTTGCTACTAGCGTTTAAATAATCTAATTAATTATTAAAGGAAAATATCTTGAAAGATCTCAATACTTAAAAATAATTTGTAAAATAAACAAGATTTATTCGTAGAGAACAGAACTTAATTATTATGTTCTTTATTTATGCTAAGTTGATAAGCAATTTTTTCAAAATATAATTGTAGTTTTTAAGTTATTCGTAATAATCTATTATACATACATGATAACATGAATGAAGATATACGTTTCAAAATACTTTAAAAGAAGAATAGATAAGATAATACGAAATTTGCACTATGTAGAATAAATGACTATATAAGCTATAGTGCTAAAGCAATATATCATACATTATTCAAAAAGAATGTAACTTGTATTTTTTAGTCACATATAAATTCAGTGACATACGTCTTTTACGTCATAAACATAAACGTATTTCAGTATAAAAGAATTTTGACAGTTACACAAATTGAATGAAATTAACGAGAGATCTTTAGAATTTTTCTAAAGAAGAAATAAATTTCTATATATTTTAATCTATAAAAATTCTATATATTTTAATCGCATGTTACACATGTGTATACACAATAGTTTCTTACTCCACTTGTTTGTTTTTCAATTTCTTTAACTTGACATACAACCTTAAATAAATCAATACAAATGTACATTCCATTATTTTTTGTTTTAAAATAAAATCTCAGTAAAAAAATTAAAATTTGTATATAACAATTATAAATTAGTCAATAATACAAAATCATAAAATCTTGAAAATAAAAAGATAATAATCTTAATTAAATTTTAATCAGAGAGAAAGTGAAAGGGAGAA